TTGGGGCAATAGCCAAGTTCGGTCCATCAGGTGCTCACTGCTGGAAGAGGAGTCAGGCAGGGAAACAGGCACTTTCAGCTGTGCCACCCTTCCTGGTCTACACTCGGTGTAGCAGGGAAGCAGAGGGGACACGGGGTGGTGCCAAGGCTGCCCATGACCTGGTCCCCATCTTGCTTCATGCTTTATCTGGGCCTCGCCCCATCTACGAGCAGGGAAAACTCTTCCTCTGGCCATATGTACAACAGTGGGATGGAACAACTGAGAGATAAAGGAACTAATGGCTTCCTGTGGCCTGGGGGGTATTTTCCCATCACCTCCAGATCCCCTTCTGCCCTTTTCTCCCCTAATCTGCCCACCCCTATGTGTCAAGGGCCTTGGAGAGCAGCAAGGACAGGATTCTGGGTCTCTGAGGGCAAAGTGTGAGGTCAGGAGCACTTGAGAACCATGCCGGGGCTGGCCCTGTACCCTCAGGAGGTCGCGCTTGTGCCAACTCATGGACGCTGCTCATTCCTCATCTCCCTTGACCTTCCTGCAGCCTGCGACCCTGATCCGTTTCCAGTGGCCTCTCCTCCTTGGGCCTCTGTCACCCCGTGCTCTCCCTCCTCCTTCCTGGCCACCTGTGCCAGCCCAGGCGTTTTCTAGGTTCCTCCTTCATTCCTGCTGGTCAGGGTCCCGCCCAGTCCTCCTCTCTGCGGTCCCTGAGCAGTCTCCGTCTCCACCTCCTAGGCTCCTTGTACACGGTGCTGACCACCCGAATGCTCAGCCTCCAGCCCTGCTCTCTCCTCCGAGGGCTCAGCCACAGGGCCGGCCACCTCCCTGACCCCAATCCCAACGTGCCCAGAACTGGTCTCACCTCCTCTCCCAAGTCCTCGACTTCTCCAGGGGGCCCTTGGTCTGGGGATGCCACCACCACCTCCCTGGCTGTCCAGAGTAGAATTCCTCCCGTCCTCCCACTTCCTCATCCAGCCAATCACCAATCTCGTCAATTCTGCCCTCGTCTCCTTCCCTCCTTTCCCATGGCAACACTCTGAGTGAGGCCACCGCACTCACCCCCACCCAGTCCTGGTGGTGGTCTCCACGCTGGCTCCAGTTTGGACCAGCAGTACGGCAACTTCCTCAAGTGCCAGCTTGATGTCACATCTTTCAGTTGTGCCCATAGTTCTCAGGATTAAAATCAAACTCCTCAGTTTAGTACTCAAGACCCTTCAAGGCTTGCCTCTGGCCCCCTCCTCCAGCAGCAGCTCTCCTCTCGGCTTTAGGCTCCCCACTCTTGGAGCCCTGTCCCCACATTCCCCAAGCAGACTTCTGGGCACCTGGTGCCAGGACACAGGAGCTCTGGGTAGCAGGGGGCAGGGGATTGGTTCCTAGTGTAAGAAAAGGCCAATGTCCCAAGTAAAGTGTGTACCTCAGTTCCCTGTGAGTCTGATCAATGTGAGTCAGTCCCCTGAGACTACTATTTGAATTCAGTGAAGGAAGATCTAAGTTCTGAACTACTGTGGCCTAACAGGATGACCACAGCTGAGGGGCTACCCTCCCACTGCCCTCACATTCGAGCACAGCCATGTATTAGGCACAGCCATATATTAGGCATATATATAGGCTGACTCCGGAGGGAATAGTGGTGCGCAGGGCAGCTTCCGTGTACTGAGCATTCACTGAGTGCTGGGCACTCTGTTGCGCGTTTGGTGCCACATCTCATTAAATCTTCCCTCGAACCCCGGGCAGAAGGCCCTTTTGTTATCCCCATTTCATAGATGTGGAAATGGAGGCCAGAGAGGTCGAGTAACTTTCCCACTGCTGGCAGAAAAGTGCCAGACCCAGAACTTGAGCTCTTTTCTGTCGGATTCCAGAGTCGTAAAAACACACGGGAATGACTTAAGGCACGGATGCGAGTAGGAGACTTTTGAGGAGGGGACGTGAGAGCAAGCAGGCGGGAAATACGGAGAGAGTGACCACTGGGAGGAGAGATGGGGGCGGCGGAGTCATCACCGCTGTGCTTGGTCACGTCAGTTGCCCCATAGCTGGAGGCGACTTGGGGACGGTGAGCATGTGGGCAGGAGGGGGAGGCATCTCCGGGTGCCCGTTTTCCTCGCAGCCCTTGGAAGGCCACACGCAGGGGACAGAGGCCAGCGGGGAGTGCCGAGGAAGGGCTGTCCACGTCCTGCTGGTCGAGGCTCCACCCAGGGCCTTTGGCTGGGCCCCGGGGGGCAGATACTCACAAAGGGGGGCATTCATCATTTTTATGCCTACGTTCAGATCCCTAATAAGGAAGTAATAATATTGCCAGGCCTTTACCACGCTTTCTATGGGCTACTGAGAAGACTAATTATCTGACGACACTAATAAATGGTTATGATGTTATTAAAAATGGCACCAAGCTAGGATTAATAGGCTCATCAATTGTAGGGAATCGGGTCTAACAAGGTCCCCTGCATGTTCTGTCAGGGCCCGTGGCCCTGATGGATACAGGGCTTCCCGAAGCACCACCCAGCTGCGCGGAGGACGCGGACGGGGCTGCCCGCCTTACCCCGGCCGAGGGTCCGCTCAGGAAGGTCCGGCTGCGGCTGGGTCTCTCCGACCACACCCCCTTGCCCACGGCTCTTCAAAGCTCTCGGGCCCCCGGAGCTGCGGTGGGTGGCGAGGCTGGCTCAGCCCCACTTGCTTCCACACGTGGCCTCCGCTCTCCATGTGGCCTGATCTCCTTCCCCCACCAGCCCCGCTCCCCTCTGCAAACCTCAGCCTCAGAGCCACCCCAGCACCCCAGAATCCAGGGCCCTGCTCACCAAGTGCAGGAGAGTGGGTAAGATGGAGATGCCTCCGGGGCCTGCTGACTAATTTCCATAATAATTATAGTTATTACTAATAACAGTGACAACACACTCCCTTCCGTTTATACTGAGTTCTACAATCTAGAAGCTGCTTCCCCACCAGTTGTCTCCTCTGGGCTCACAACAAGCTGGGAAGAACGTGGGGCGGGCGTCATTATTCTCACTGTCAGCAGAGTAACTGGAGCTCAGGGAGCTGAAGGGACGTCCTGAAGCCCCCTCCCCACCAGCCTCCAAGAAACAGCTGTAAGGATAAAATTAAAAAAAAAAAAAAAAAAAAAAGCAAATACGGACACGGTGCCGCCTATGGAATGCACATATGTTAATTTCATCCTCACGACAATCTTACGAGGTAGGTCCGATTAATATATCGTTTCCCTTTTACAGATGTGGAAACTGAGACACAGAGAGGTTAAGAAACTAGTCCAGGAACACACAGCTGGTAAGCAGCAGAGTGGGAACCAAACCCAGCTGGAGTTCATGCTCTGTACCCTTAGCCTCTCCTACCAGACTCCCCAGGGAGCCCGATTTGCTGGGGCCTTGGAAATGACTCCACGGGGCCAGGCTCTGCCCCAGCCGTCATGCCTTCAGCTCCGCCTGCCTCCCGCGTGCAACCTGCAAGGTCTCTGCAGGGCAGCTCCCCTCAGACGGAGGCGGGAGACGGCCCCGGTGCCGCCTGCCCCTCCCTGGAGAGGCCAAGCTATAGTAACCCCCAACCTTCGGCTGGCACTTTCCAGGTTGCGAAGATCTACTGCATGATCTTGGGGTCAGGATGGCTCTTTGTCAGGGTTGGAGCTCAGGGCTACGTACGAGGCCAAGAGCCTCCACAGCTCCGCCACTCCGAATCCCGGCTGAGGGCCTTCACCTCTCTCTGTCTCAGTCTCCTCATCTGAGAAATCTGTTAATAACAGATTTCTGTTAATAATAATAATTTCTGTTAATAATAATAATTTCTGTTAATAATAATCTGTTAATAACAGTACCTACCTCGCGGGCTGTTACAAGGACAAATGAGAGAGGGACCCTACGGGGTCTAGCACGGATCTGGTCCTTGCATCCAGTGGCAGCTCTTTGATAGAAAATGCTTTAGGCCCGAGCCGGAAGGCAGGTGATGTTTACCACGTGCCAGTGAGCCGTGCGAACGGGGCCTCATCTGATTTCCCCAACAGTCTTAGGAGCTACGCTGGTTGCTAATTACTCCTATTTTAGAAATGAAGGAATTGAGGCTCAGCGAGGTTATGAACTTACCTAGTCACACATCTAGCAGGTGGCAAAGCTGGGACTGGAATCCAAGGTCTACCGGACCACAGCCTGGGCTTCTAAGACCTATGATGTGTTTGCTTATAGTATTTTACAAGGCCCCCTAGTACTGACCTTCCTATGGGCTGGGTCCTGTGCCAGTAGTGCAACAATCCTGCGGGAGGGATATTCATGTGCCCATTTCACAGATATGCAAACAGCTCAGAGAGGTCAAGTGACTCGCCCCTGTTCCCACAGCTAATGAGTGAAGTCCTGGACTCAGACCCAGGGCCTCCTGGTTCCTCCCCTGCTGTTGTGACTCCAGCCTGCAGCTTCTCCCTGTTTTTCTCCCAATGTCCCAACAACCCCAGATCCCTCCCACTGGCTGCTCCCTCTCCCTGCCCTGCCCACTCCGTGCTCCCCTGGGTCCTCTCCTGGGTCCCAGGCAGGGTAAGAGGCCGTCCCTTGGTGCCTCCCAGCGGAGCCTTGCTCATCCCTTCGCTCTGGGTCTCAGCTTCTGAGACCCCCACTGGACCCAAAGTTACTCAAGGCAGTGACAGGTTTATCTCTGTGTCCCAGAGTCTGGAGAAGTGCCTCCTGCTGGCACCTCATGCACGGTTAGGACACACTTTGGTGGCTCTTAAAGGGGCAGAAGGCATTGGGAAACTGAGGGAATCCTCCAGAACCAGGGCATGGAAGATGCCAGCAGGGCTGGCGCTGAGTCGGGCAGGGGCCGGCACATGTGCACGGAGAGGAATGAGCGGGGCAGGCCCGAGAGAGCTGGAGCACACCTCTTCACTTGGGGTCCCCAACCTCCAGGGTCACATCTCCCTGCCTCAGGGCCCCTGCCTGCCAGGAAGGCCAGCCCTGGTGCACACAGCGCTCCACCAAGCCTCCCAGGGGTCCCCACCTCCTCCAAGCCCCCACCGGGCTTACGTGGTCGATGAGCTCCTTGATCATGCCGTTCCACTGGCCCTTGTCGTCCTGCGCCCCGTACTTGCCGTCCTCCACCAGGCGGATCTCGTAGGAGAAGCCCAGGATGTGGGCCAGCTCCTTCAGCAGGTCGATGCAGTAGCCCTCGAACCGGTCGTTCCCGTACAGGGTCCTGTCGGACTTCCGGAACATGACAAAGGGCTCCTCCTGCAGGCACAGATGGGAGGGGACTGCTGAACCCTGGAGGGCAGGGTGGAGGCGGGCTTGCGCTGGAGAGCTTGGGCCAGAACTGTGATTTTACAAAACCACGGGGTGGTCAGACGAATGGCCTGTTAGGCCAGGAGAGGGGAAGCACATTTCCTGAGAGCCAGTCTGGGGCCCCATGCACGGCCACCTACGGCAGCCCCTGGGTACAGGGTAGGAGCTCAGTAGGTGCTTGCTGATTTAAGTGCCAGTGGCTACAGAGCTAGTGAGAGGTGGAACAGGGATCTGAACTGGGGACTGTCCGATCCCAAAGCCCAGCAACACAGGCCAGGGGCCTTAGAGAGTGGTCGTGGGACCAGAGGGACCTGCACCACCTGGGAACCAGGCTCCACCCCAGACCTAACTGAACCAAGAACTCTAGGTGGGGCCCAGGAGTCTGTGCTTCTAGTCGCCCTCCAGGGAGTTGTGATGTCCACTCAAGTTTGCGGACACTGCTGTAGAAAGCCCTCTGCAAGTGTTTGCTCTGACTGCCCCTCGACTCCCACTTAAAAGATTAGATCTACACACTCCCTGGTACTGTCTCTCTGCCCAAGGATCTCCTCGGTCCCCCGCCTTAGGATCTGCCGGGCGACTGATTGCTGATGACAGTGACAGCTTGCGTTTGTATGTGGCAGTGCCAGGGCTAGTCAATCAGCACGTGAGATGATGCCTGCAGAGGTCACACAGAGCCCAGCGGGGCACCAGGGCTCAGCAGACAGAAGCTGCCATCGCCTCACTTAGCCTTAACACCAACCTTTGGGGGTAGTTTATTAGTGATCCTATTTTATAGACTTTATAGATGCAGAAAGGGAAGTTCATGAGGACAAGTGACTTGTGTGAGCCCACCCGGCTGGCACTGAGTGACGATCTGAATTGTGTTGACCCCAGAGTTGAGAGTCCTGTGCCAGAGACCCTGAGCCCCATGGAACCTCTCCCAGGTGGGCAGGTGACCCCTCAGGAAGGTTGCTTATGGACCTTTCTAGATCCGCAAATCAGGTCGAGAGCTGCCACCCTCATACCTGCTCCTGGACAACTCTAGTCTTCTTGGATTTGTCTGGGCCTCCTTCACCCGTCCCTGGCCCTGTCTCTGCCCGTCGGTCCTCTGTCTCTTCCTGTCCCCCAACACTCCTCACACCCACCTCGGCGCCCACGTGTCATAATGCCCCAAGCCGTCCGCTGGTGGGTGATAACCCTTAGCTGGCAGAAGGCACGTAAGCCGGGAAGCTCACGTCCACGTGCCCACAATAAGGCACACGCCTGTCTCATCGTCCTCTCCACTGGCAGGGCCATTCCCTGACCTCCTGGGCCCCTGCGGTGAAGGGAGCAGTGGGGGCCCAGTGCAGACCCTCGTCAGAAGTCCCAGGAGAGGAACGCACCCGCAGCGTCTTGTGGGGCTCTGGGCTTCTGCTATGATGGGCAAGGTTCTGTTCTACGGGTTCCAGCAACACTGCCTCTCAGAATCCCAACCCACCCCGTGACTGATCCATCCCAGCTTTTCAGCAGTCACTGGGACGCTTCAGAGAAAGAGCCAGGGAGTGTGTGACTCTCCAAGGGGTTCCCACCTCTCCAGGGATTCTGGGAAAACCACTTCTCGGTCTAACTGGGTAGGAAGCCGGATCGTTGGTGAGGCGCCACACTGAATCTCCGTGCCTCTCACGCTCACCCTCCAACCGAGCAGGCAGCTCATCAGGCTGGAGAGGGGTCCAGGTGGGGCCTGGGGAAGGTGCTGAGGCTGGACAGGGACCCTTGGCTGGTCCATACACTGCCTTTATGCAAATTCGTCCCTGGACAGATGCTTCCCTGCACCCTGGCATGGGGCCTGGCGAGCACCGCCCGGGGGGAGATTTCAGCCTCAACTCATCCTTTTGGTTGATGCTCTTGTGCAGTGAGCAAGCTACACCACTGTACCTGGTGGCTCTGACTTTTTAGTTCAAGGGAAGAATTAGAGAGAAGGTGCCATCTTCCCAGTGGACCTACCAACCACATAAAAAATCCTAGACAAAATCTATCTTCTTCTGTAAAATGTGAAAAAAAAAAAAAGAACCCACCTTTCAAGGTTGTTGGGAGGATACAATGAGTCGATGAATGAAAAGCATTCAGAATAGTGCCTGGCAAATGTTAGCTGTCAACATTATTATTATTACTATTATTATTATTGTTAATACTGGCATCATCATCTTCTCCTTCAGGTGTACTAGCTGTCCTGTTACTGCACAGACCTTTTCAGACTAGAGACCACTCCCAATGTCATCAAAGGTTACAGACCATGGCTGGTGGAAAACCACTTCAGGAAAGGTCCCTGAGACAGCTCACTTCCTGACCCTCTCTCCACGCCCCACCCTGGCCCAATCCTCCAAAATTAGCACTTCATTTGTGAAGCCACCACAGCCCCAGAATCTATACATCTCCATATAAATACGCTGCCTTCGGAGCAGCTGTAAAATGCCATTAATTTCGGGAAGTGCTTTGCGGATGGCATACATATTTAACAGCCAAAGCCCAGAGCATTAAAATGGTGCTCGCCTTAGTAATGTGTCTCTAGACCTGCAACATTTCCTAGGGGGTAATTCTGAACTCCGCCAACTACTTATTCATGGACTATTTCACAATTTATTACTGGAAATGTCCAGACAGCCAATTCACAAGCTCTCTCGGCTGCTAATCGATTGCTCAGTGAAGGTGCCCTCAATTTCATAACTTCACGCTCTCCTATTGCTCTGGGAGAGCGGCCGTGGGAGCAGGGGTAATATTTCTCTTCAACAAGTCACAGAAAACAAGGGCCCAGAAAAATAACCGTTGCCAACTTTCCGTTGCCAGGGCTGGCGCTCTGGTTTCTCTACGATCGCTTACGCCAGTGTGAAAGCCAGGCCCAGTGCTAAGCTTCTCCCAGTGACAGGACCCGTGGAAGAGGGGGCTCTGGGCATGGAAGAGGGGACTCTGGGGGTTATCCCCAATTAAAGAAGGATCTAGGGCTTAACTACCTGGGAGCCGCATTCCCAAGCCCCCTCCTGAGTTAGGTAGCATCAGCCCACATGGACACATGCGTGCACATGTATGCACAGTGCTCCTGCACAAACACACCACATTCTCAAGTGTTCTGTCTGCTAGCCCTGCTCGGACCTTGGGCCTTGGCCTCTGCTAGTCAGAACCAGGACAGAACATCAGGAGTCCTGTCTTCCCAGCAGGAGGGGCCTAAAATGGTCCCCCGGCCTGGGATGGTTCCCCCAGCTCACGTTCTGGCTGTAGCTTTTCCCCTTTCCTGCCCGGTGGTTGAGTCTCTGTGGGTCAGGTTGTACACACGGCATGGATGCACCCATCAGTGAGCACCCAGACACCTGTGCACAGCCGGTCTCTCGCCCGCACACATACACGCACGCACGCCCACACCACTGCTCACATCAGCAGCCAAAAGAGCCCTGAACCTTCAAAAGCAGGGCCCCCAGGAGCGGGTCGGGTGTTTTCTCAGTGTGTGAGCTGAGGTTTGGGCAGATGAATTTTTCATGAGCTCAAGGAAGAGCGGAAGAGAGGCTGGGGCCTGGCAGGGAGGGGGCGGGGAGGGCAGGCTTCCAGGCTCCTGCCGCTGCTGTTTCAGTCTCAGGAATGGGAAGGCTGCCTGCAGCTCTGAAGGGCCAGAGAGGGCAGGGTCAGGGCTCTCTGTCCATCTGTCTGTCCAGGGCAAGGCATCCTTAGCACCTAATCTCAGGGTTGATGACAAGGGAGAAGAGCAGGTGGGTTTGGGGGCAGCCCACACAGAGCTGCTGCCTTCTGCCTTAGCCAGATTCTAGGGAAAAGAAAGGGAGGAGAAACCCCTCTCATCAGGGGTCTTGGATCCAGGCCCTGTTCTCTAGGGCAGAGCAGTTTGATGTTCTTGTACTGGTACCCGGGGATCTGCCTGTCACTCAAAGTGCTGTTGCCCTGACAACACCCTCCCAGACAGGCAGGGGCTGTGCTCTCAGTAGGAGGTGATGGTCTTGTATTCAGACCACTAAGCATGGGGCTGGGTTTTCAGCCAAGCAGCTGGGGCTGGGCCAGGCTGGGCCACTCCCCACTGCCTTGCAGCTGTCCTAAAGCCCCCAAGCCTGAGACCATCCCCCAGGACTCTAGGACATGCAGATCATGCTGAGCCGTTCAGGAACATTCCCTGGCGTGTCTGGATCAGCTCTAGGTTTTCAGGTGGCCCTAGACCTGTCCTTGCATGGGAGTGGGCGTCTCTCTCCCAGGAGACTCTGAGGATACTTTCAGCTGGACACAGAGAGTTTCCTGTAGACCTTTGTAAAGGCTGTGTGTCACATGTTTGGTCCCCATCAGGGGACATTCCCTTCATTCCCCCTCCTCCAGGGTCGATGAAACTTCTCTCACTGTCCCACAGGGACAAGCAGAGCCAGCCCTCCAGTGATCTCCAGTGATCTCTGACACTGCACGAAGGGGTTAACACGGTTGGTGGTCCCATCCACGGGCAGTGGGAAATCTGCTTCAAGTGGCTGAGCAGCTGTCTCCGAGGTCAAGGCACTGGGGCCCAGGGCCAGGGAATTATTGTGACATCAGGCCCAGGAGCTCTGACCCTGCCCAAGGCAGGGGATGCGGTGGTGGTCATAGATCTGGAGTTTTATGTCTCAGCAGGAGGCCACAAGGGGCTCAGGAGGTCGAGGTGGCAAACCCTAACGCCTTCAGGGACCAGTCGGGAAACAACATTCTAAGAAGCAGCCAAGTGTGACCAATAGGGAGTGGCATTCAAATGCAAATTCAAATTTATAACATAACAAGCCCTGCACTGGAGATCACCTAGCATGGTGATCTAGGTGGACGTGGCTAGGGGTGTCTTTGGTGGAGTTCAGGCCTGCGGCCAGGGCAGAGGTTTTCTCCAGAACTCTCACTCCGCATGTTGTATTAAGCCTGAGCTCACTGGGGACCGGATCTGTAATCAATAATAACAACGCTAACAGCTATCACTTAGCACTCACTCCATACCATTTATACGTATTAATCATTCATCCTCTCGACTCTATGAAGTAGGTAAGATTATTATCACCTTCTTTTTACAGATGGAGAAACTGAGGTGCAGGATGGGTAAGTGAATTTTCAGGGTCACACAATAAGCAAGTCAAGAAGAAAGCCAGGATTCCACCCCAAAGGTGTGTGTTCTTAATCATCCCATGCTTCTGACCCTGCGTCCTGAGTACACTGTATGTCCCAAAGAGCTGCTGGGCTTGCGTCTCCCTGGATGCCCTGCAGCTGAGGGGTGGGGCACAGACGGAGCTGTGACCAGGCTGTGGGCCAAGAGGGGCTTCTCTGCTTCCCTGTCCCCTGGGATGCCTGGGAGCCAGCCGGGTGCTGGGGGCGGGACCTCCACAGAAGGTCGGGGACCTTTGCAAGAAGCTGGATGCATGGACAAAGAAGCTCTGAGTGTCCACAGGTCAAGGGCATGGGGTGTCTGCCGGATTCTTCCTCTGCTTGTGCAGAAAAAACCCTGTGCCTCTGCAGAAGGGTTTTATGCCCTTGAAATGGGGCTGCTGCCATTTCAATGAAATTTAACCCCTTGCTCTTTCAAGGTGCCTATATTTTGCATCCTTTGGGTACATGATCCTTAGCTCCTCTTAGTGTTCAGAGTATTGTTTTGTGACTGAATCGCCTTTGCTCATTCAATCATCTCTCCTCCTAATCCCTTAAATCATACTAGTTTTACCTTTTTAAAATCTTACCTCATGAAAAGTGTTTTATTTATATCTCTCGTTCTATGCAGCCCTGCTTTTAATCTTTCACCACCTTTTTATTATTTTATTTTTACCCTTTTATATTTTAGCTTTGTCACACTTTTATCCTTTTGCTTTTTGACATTTTGGTTTTACATTTTTTACCTTGCCTGGTCGGAGCTATAAATTATTTAATTTTTCGTCTTTCTTAATATCTTCCCTTTTTATCTCATTTCTTATCTTCATTTTCTCTTTATTATTTTCCTTTTAACCTTTCATTTTGCTCCCTCTCCACTGTCCTCTATCTTCTCTATTTTTGTCTGCATCAACATTCCTTTAATTGCGCATCAGTCTCCACTCTCACCCGCCTGTGCTTGTTACGTGTTTATTTTTGTCTTTTACATTTTTTACATTATGGTTTTTTTCCTGTTCATTTTGAAATCTTTTCACTTATTGGCTTTAGTAGTCTGGTTTTTATATTTGTTTAATTAACAAAAAGTTGATAAATAAATTCCTGCAGGACATGTGATTATCGGGGAAGACGCTAGTGTGTGGGTCTTGCCCCAAAGAGGAGGGCGGGTGTTTCTCCCGGCCACCTCCTCCGGCTTTCCCAGCAACTCGTCTAGAACCAATATGAGATCTGTCGCCTTTAACGTGGCTCCTCCCAATGTTCATAACCCTGGGGGCTGGCGATGAAATCCACAGGCTACAGTTCCCCTCCAGACGCCGACAGCACCCTGGTGTCTGCCAGCCCCTGGGACTCCTGGAAGGATGGGGTTTCTTCCTGTCCCAGGACATCCACCACCCCGCCACAGAGCATGTATGTGGGGAGTTACCCCAGAGGGGAGGACATAAGACTGTCCAATGGGGCTCTCTGACCTGCCTCTTGGGGTGCAAGCCCTGCCCGAGCACCGCAGAAGGTTCCATTCTGGGGCAGCCTTACGTAACCCCAAATGGGCTGAGCTCCTGTGTGCAGAGGAACGACCTCAGCACGTGGTCCTTACAGACACACGTGCTTTATTATAGGCGATGCTGACTAGAGCCAGAATTGTCCTCAAAGGGTCTTCAGTCGGAATCTGCTGGGTTGTGATTGGGCTGCTTCCTCCAAGATGCCCCGGCTGGGGCCCCAAGAGCAGTGCTGAGTCCCTGAGAGGGTCTGTGCTGAGCCTGTGGGCGTCGTGGGGACTTCCGGGAGGCACTGGTGCATGTGGAGCGGGCGCAGCCCTGCCTGGTCAGGGAAAGGAGGCTGGTGGCCTGGTCTGTGCTCCTGCCTACCCGTGAGCTCCAAGGTGCAGAGCGCCTATGGGAGACCCCAGGAGCCCCTTCTTGGGTTGGGAGGGGTGAGGAGTGGGGGGTGGAGAGAGGATGGGATGCAGTTCCACTCAGGGGCAGTGGCTGTGGCTGATGGCTGGGGACACGACGTTGGAGAGTGTGGCTGGCATGGGTACAGGCTCCCAGGACCCACCTGGGAGCTCTCTGGGTGTGGCCACCCCCCCACCCCCCCACGTCTGGGTTGACCCGTGGGAAGGGCCTTTCCCTGGGAACTGAGTCCTGCTGCACAGGGCAGTTTACCCGCCTTGCCGCCACCCCATCGTGTGTCCTGCCCAGACATCAGGGCCCAGGGAGCGAGTGGAGTGAGCGGGAAAAGCACAGGGCTCCTGCCCGTGGTCCTGAGCGGAGCTGCTGTGCCCCAGCTGCTCTCTGAGACCCTAAGCGTTTCCACCTTCCTGCAGCAACATGGCCACCATCCTCTGGCCCCCCAGCAGCCTCATAAGAGGTACCTCGTCTGTGACGCATGGGGGACAGAGAGGTCTGTCCAGCCCACATGGTCACCCGCCTCCCGGTCAGACAGCCCTTCCTGCGGGGGCTGCAGGCTCTTACCAGCACTGTGGTGACGATGAGTGACCTGTTTGTCAGAGAGTCCGTGACATTAGGGCCTCGGCCTTTGGCGACCTCCGTGATGTTGAGCCCGTCGGCAGGACTCCACACCCCAACCTGGAAGGACAGACAGACAGAAAGCAGGGTGCTGAGTCCTCAGTCTACCCATCCTTTCTCCATGTCACCAAGACCATCATCGTCCTCATCGTCTGCTGTCGTGTTTAAGCTGACCATTCTGATGACAGCCCTGCTGTTCTCCCTCCTTCCCCGATGAGGCCCCCGGGGTGTTGAATCTCCTGAATTCTGCTGCCCCCTTGCTGGCAAACCCATCGCAGCGCAGAGGGAAGGTGCAGAGGGAGACGGTAAGTGCACAGGGGCTTCGCAGCTACTGAACGACGCTGGAGGGATTCGGGGGTCCGTGGTCAGTGCCAGGTCCTGCCCTGGGACACCTCCTCACCTGGGTGCTCACTTATCAGGCCTCAGCCCCAGCCAGCTCCCAGCTGCAGCTGCCTTCCAAAGCCCAGGACAGGGCCTGGAACAATGGAGATGTTCACTAAACAACAGTGGACCCTGTAAAGGACAATGAGCCGTGTCATGTGCGGGAGGCAGGCTGGGCAGGAGGCCGGCCTTGGTGGTTGTTCTGGGGCTGGTCCCACAGGAGAGGATGAACCTCCCTGGGTTCATCCTTGGGTGCTGCTGGGTTTGAAGGCAGTTTGCTTATGGTTTTACTTCCAAGCTGGCAGATACCCTGGCCGAGGTGGCATAATCTCTCTCCCTATAGCATCCTTATTGATATCAGGCCTGAGGCTGGAGGAAGGGAGGGAAAGGTCAAGTTTACAAATGGTGCCTAAAGCCCTGGGCCTCTTGAAGGTCCTTTTTGACCCAACTCAGCCCAGCTTGGCCTGATCTCAGCTCCCCTCACTCCAGGAAGGCTTCAGCATGCCCACTCTGTCCTTGGCCCAGTTGGGGGGTACTCAGGAAACTTAATCAATTAAACAGAGAGGCCGAATGCAAACATCCCATTAAGAGAGCTGTGCAGAGCAGATAGCAGAGAGACATGTAATTATGCTTGGGTAATTCTGCCTTAATCCTCCCAAAGCCACCGGCTGGAGCTGGCTGGATCAGCTATGACCCGGCTCAGCAAACAGAAGTGATAATATGAGAGGCAGAGTGGCTGTGTTTGGGAGCTCAGCATCCCCCTCAGGGCAGGATCTCTGCCTGCATAGACCACCCAGGGCCACAGGGGAAGAGACAGGCAGACGGCATTGAAGAGGCTCTTCTCTTAAGTGGGCCAAGCTCAGAGCCAAGTCAGCAGGAGGGTGCCTAGCAGAGCACCTGGGGCAGGACGTGCTCAACAAGCATCTCTCCAGAGGCTGCATGGGCAGCAGGAACCCTCACCCCGGCAGGCATCTACTGAGCTCCGACTGCATGCCCTGATAGATACCAGGTGCTACGGGGCATGGGAGAACAGTCAGGACTGAGGAGGACACAGCCTGCAGAGGCTCTCTGCTTGCAATCCAGGTGGCTGTGACCAGGAGCCTCTGCAGGCCAACCTTTGTCCAGGGATAATGGAGTTTTTCTTGACTATTAGCTATGGTCAATTTGTACCAGCTGCCTGGAGGGCTGTTGGGAGAAGGAGGCTGCAGGTGGGCTCAGATGCAAAGAGTGCTCCAATGGCAATTACTGATGCCTGCTGTGGCACAGAGCTGGAAGTGGGGGCATGCGTGCCATTTCACTGCCCTCCCTCGAATTTTGGGGCTATCCCCAGAGATGGGCAACTGCGAGAGCAAAAATGGGACAGCTACTTGTGTGAATACGGCATTCATCATAGCACTGCCAGAGGAGGAAGGGTCCTCCCTTGTCACTGCAGGAGTTTAAATAGAAGCTGGAAGATTCTTGATGGGAACTCATGTAGTTTGTAAAGGGTTGAATCAACTGGCCTTGATCATCTTAGGTAGGGAGGCCACAGCCCCTTTCCCTAAGACTGATGCTACGTGTGGCACGAAACAGTGGCAGAGGAATGGTGAGGTTTCCGCAGCCCTCCCCCATTGCACAGTGGCTCGCAGGAGTCAGCGAGACGCTCAGGAGTCAGTGACTGGAGCAACCACGGCCAAAGGGACAATGAGGCCAGTGTGGGCCAGGCAGAGCCAGGCTCGTGCCTGAGTGACAGAGGCCACATCCCACAACCAGGGCAACTGCATGGTCAAGGACCTGGAGGGGCAGGAGGGCGGGAGCGTGACTGGACCACGGGCATGCTTCAGGGAGCAGTGGACACCGGGCCTGGAGAGGCCAGGGGGCATTTCTTGGAGGGTCTTAAAGGCCCAAGTGGGGGGCTGAAGCTTAACAACTCGGCCCTGGGAAGCCACAGGCGGTTTCAGAGCAGGGTAGCGCAGTGCTTGGGGAAGCCTCATCTGTGTGTACACTCGGGAAGGCTGGAGGGCTCAAGAGCCAGAGCGAGGTGTTAAAATAACCCACGTAAGAGGCCTGAGCCGGGGCAGGGCAGGGAGGAGAGAGCAGCAGAACCAGCAGTGGCCCCTCCACTCTCCTGGCCTCTGCTCCCTGCGTTTTATACGCCCCGCCTTGCAGGGTCGGAGAGGTGGCCCAGTGGCTCCTGGGGACCAGCCTGCTAGGGCACAGAGTGTGCCTGAGCCCCAGACCCCAGGTCTCAGGGAATGCTGGGACTTGGGGGCTCACCTTAAATCCCCTTCTCTGCCCAGCAGCCTGACTCTGACAGCGTATGCGGAAGGTGCCCAGAGCTCAGGACTGGCCTCACTGAAACATTTCTGTGTTGGCCAGACGGGAGGCCCCAGGCAGGCCTGCTTTCCGCCTCCGAACTCTCTGCAGTCACAGAGGCCTCAGCAGCCTGGGGGGAGGAGCTCAGAATTCATGTGCTCCAACCTCTTTCCCAGGATAAGAGTCACCTCCAGTCTCCCAGACAAGCAATCGCTCTGTTTTTGCTTAAATTCCTCCTGTGACAGTGAGCTCACTACTTCCCAGGACGACACCCCCTGCTGTCTGTCCTTCTGCCCCATGACATCCCTGCGGGGACTCAAAGACAGTCTGTTCCTCTCTGAGCCTTGTCTTGTTTCCCAGGCTAAGCATCCCCAGCAGCCCACTCTCCCAGGGTGACTGATGGTCTGGGTGTTGCCGTAGCCAGGCCACTGGCTGCTGCACCCTCCAGTCCCCCCAGGCCTTCCTGTGCTCTGTTGAGCCCACAGAGGCACAGGCCACACGGGTCTCGTCTAGCCCTGGGCAGGGCAGCTGGACTGGGTCTTGCTCCTGCCTCTGGGCCTCTGCCTGGGGTCAGTCACAGGGAATTCAAGAAACTCCTGCTCCTCCCCTGAGCCCACGCACCTTCTCCAGCCCGTCTTCTTTCAGGCTGACAATGTCCAGATCAAAATCTGTCCGCAAGCCACTGGTTTTGTTGAAAACAATCCGTCCCGTTAATCCTTCCCATTGAGCCTGAGGAGGGGAGAGGGCAGAGCGGCAATTCCTTGGGCTCATAAATCATCATTCGGTACAACTGTACAATGCTTCATTTTAATTACTCCTTGCACTGATACTGTTCCCCCAAGACCATGATTAATTAATAATCACCTCCATCATTGCTCGGGCTGCGGTGCGAGCCAGCGATTTCCATAAATTCTATTATGCTCTTTAGCCAGCTTTACACATGCACCTTCTCGTGTACAACATCGATCTTGGATGTGCTCAAATGAGCCCCCGCCTCGAAGTCACAGGAAGCGGGGGCCCATGTCACATCCCTGGAGAGGGCAGGGGGGCAGGCGGGCAGAGGTGGGACAGGCGAGATCTGCCCAGAGGCAGAAAAGCCAATGGGCTGCGCTGGCCCTGGCTGTAAAACCAGACACTTGGAATAATCCCCAGAGAGGCTGGGGGACCAAGAAGGTCACTCCCACCCCCCAGCTCCAGCAGCCAGGCACATGGTGGCTAAGAACTCTGGGATCAGAAGGCTGGGTCCAATCACAGTTAGTTGTGTGACTTTGAGTGCTTCATTTCACCTTTCTGCCTCAGTTTCCTCATCTATACAATGGAACTAATAATAGTTCCCATCCTATCAAAATGCAATGAGGGTGAAATGAGATAAGTCATGTAAAATATTGAGAAAGGTGCCTGGCACAACTCGAGACCTGAATAAATGGTAGCTTTTGTCATGTTTAAATTGTCATTAGCTTCACTAACACACAGAGGGGCAGGCAGAGAATGGGGCAGACCTAAACTGAGAAAAGCTCCATCTTCTAGATTAGGGGTTGGCACACTATGGCTGGTGGGTCAAACTGGCCCCGGTCTGCTTCTGTAAACAGTTTATTAGCTCACAGCCATGCCCATGTGTTCGCGTATTGTCTGTGGTCGCCTTTGCACTGCCACCGCGGCATTGAATATTCGAGACAGAGACCATCTGGCCCACAAAGCCGAAATTATCTCCTATCTGTCCTTTTACGGAGAAAGTTTGCTGACTCCATTCTAGAAACATCTTTCCTGTGGGCCGAGAGCACTCACAGCACGAAATACACTCACACGTTCATGTCACGCAACCTCGGCAGCAGCCCTGGGTGGTGGGCCAGGCAAGGACTGTGCTTCCCATTTTACAGGCGAGGAAGCAGGCCTGGAGGGGGCCGTGGGTCACGCAAGCTCACAGAGCGAACAAAAGGCACAGCCAAACAAGAGGTTGGGGTCCCAGGGCTCCACTTCTCAGTCTGGACTCACTTCCCTCCTCTCTCTCCTCCAAGAACATGGGACAGCAGCCAGATTACAGTTAAACACACAAGCTTTCTGTGTCTGGGAGAACAACCCCACACATGGCGGAGTTCTTGGGAACAAAGGTAGACTTGGGAGCAAGAGGAGGGGAGAAGACCTGGGGGCTCACAGCCAGCTTGGGCCAGAGAAGAAGGGGTGGGGGAGCGAGGGAGGGTGTCCGGAGAAGGGGCACAGGGCAGTGGAAGGTCTGATTGGCAGAAACCTGGCCCCGAGTCCTGGCTCTGCCACACTGGGTCCTGCCCTCTTGCAGACTTCACGGCCTCTCCCTGCTGAAGCTCCCCAGCACCCATGCACACACCAGCAATCCAAGTCCATGGGCCCACAGACCCCGGGGGTTTACCTATGGATCTTCAACTAAAACCCTGACCATCTCCAGGCATTTGGGCCACTCCAAGGTGCCGTAAAGTGCTCTGGATGAATGGGCAGGGCAATGGGTGAATGGGTATACTAATTTAGGCAGGGGCAGCACCCTGAGGGGCCCAGGAGGCTATAAGACAAAGGAGGTTAGACACTGGGCTTTGCACAAGCGATCTAACCTGTCTGTGCTTCAGGAAGGGAAGTGTTACCTACTTCACAGGTACAAAAAGTGGTGTGCAAAGTGCTTAGCACAGTGCCTGCATATACAATCACGACTAAGTGGTAGAGATTATTATTTCTCCTTTGCTGCCTCCACCCATGGAGCTCCCATAGATCAGGGCTGGCCCGTGGCTGGGGAGGGCTGGGAAGTTGGTCAGAGAGGGCTAGGATCCTTCCCTGAAAACAAGCTCACTGAGCTCTCTCTGTGATCCTGCTAATGGGTGTCACCATTGCCCCCATTTTACAGATGTGGACACTGAGGCTCAAAGAGGGATTGAACTAGCAGCTCCCAAGTATTGGTGAGGCAGGGCAGATTCTCCTGCTGCTGTGGCAGAGCTGAAAGGCCTGGGGTCGTGGCACCCAAGGAGGGGCTTGGGGAGAGCTTCCTGGAGCCCCGGGCTTGGGGATCAAGGGCTTGGGGACAGAGATTAAAAGATGCATCAGAGAAGGTGAAAAGCACCCTTTATGACTTTACAGGGAGGCTCCCCAGTCCCTCCGCCTCCCCCCACCACTCTGGCCCCCACGCCCTCAGGCTATCTCCTGCCCCCAGGGGAAATCACAGCAGGGGCTTTCTAGCCTGCCTCTGGGGGAAGCCTTCCTGCTGTCAGCCACTGGGGATTAAATGCCAGCAGGTGCCTGGCCTGTCTGTGGGCGGGTGGGCAGGGCAGGGCAGGGAGCTCTGGCGGCTCCTCCCCGTGACATTTCCCGGCTGCCTGCCCCCTCTAGACACCGCTCAGGACTTGCTAAATGAAAGATGCTTCACACGCTCTGAACTCCGGCCTGGTATTTTCCAGCTCCTCTCGGAAATGCCAAGTCTTTAAAATGATTTACTGTCATGCAGTCAGATGGGGAGATGGGCCATTTGGGAACGGTCGGAGGGAAGGCTGTGTGGGCTCAGGCAGGCTACCTGGGCTCTGCCAGACCAGCTGTGGGACCACGGACATGGCACGGGGCTGCTCTGGGCCTCCACGGCCCAGACGGGATGAATGTTTCTGAAGGGACCCATAACGGAGTATGGGGGGTGAGGGTCATTCTTTGGGCCGGCCAGTGCTGGAGGGAGAACGGGGACCCTCTCTGTGACAGGCAGTGGCGCATCTGCTCCCCGCAGGGATTCACAGCTGAGCCTCACAAACCCCAAGGGCTAAGGGGTGAAGGGTGAACGGGGTGGGTGCTCCTGCTGCAATATGGCCCGGAGACCTACTAGTTGGAATCTCACCACCAAACGGGAAGCCACAGTGACAACAGTAGTGACGATGTCACTGTCATTGAGATGACAGCGATGGCAGCCAACCTGCTCAGCCCTTGCTATGTGCCAGGTGCTGTCCTAAGGGCATCACACGTACCGTAACTCAGGAACCCTCAACCCTACGACACACATGCTATTGTGACCTCCACGGCACAAAGGAGGACACTTCAGCAGCTTTTTCAAGGTCACACAGTTGAACAGTGGTTACGATGCCAACCACTTGTGCCTGGCCCCTAAGGCTCCCAGATCTCCCCACTGAGTCAGAGGAAGGATCAGGCAGCGTGGTGGCCTGGGTCACTGAGACACTCTTGGTGGTTTCTGGCTGCTCAGCTGGCGGCCTGCTAGGGGGAGTCAGGGCCCAGGGTCCCCGAGAGCAGGCCCACGATCGCCCAGCCATGGCCTGCTCGGGGCATGGACACTGGGACGTCCTCTGCAGGAGTGATGGGCTGGATGAGAAGGGACTGCCATGCCCTCCTGTACCAAAACAGCTGGTACTGGAGTCGCTTCTGTGGCGAGGGAACTCGAGCTGAGGACATAACTGGTCCCTCACAATGATTATGAGGTGGTTCTGCCAGGCGTGGAGACTGACTCAGGGATGTCTGGTGACTTGTCTAAAGCCACATGGCCGGGGAGAGGTGGGCACAAGACCCAAAGGCACATGTGTCAAGCTCTAAAGCCTGTGTCTCACTCATATTCCTTTTAATGTTGTTTTAATCCTTGTTCTTGGCCTTATCCCAAGCAATGATGAACTTGGGACCTCAGGGAAGCTGCCCTGCCCGCAGGGGAGGTGGGGAGTTCCTCTGTTTGCGCACAGAGCTGCCTTCCTGCGCATTCTGGCTTACGTCCCTCCGTGCCAGGATCGGATGTGAGCTCTGCGCATGCAGGGGCTGTTCTGGTTCAGCCTCCTTGGGCCCCTGGTGCATAGCTCCATGCCTGGAACCCAGCAGCCCCCAACAAAGGGCTGTTGAATAAACCAATGCAGTCTCAAGGCAGCCTGTGTCATTTCTGGTCCATTGTGGTTGTTAAACAGACTGACTATCCAGAGCCCCCTAACTGCCCTTGGTGTTGCCCTGGACACTGTCACTCCCTCTGGCCTAGGATAACCCTGCCTGGATCTCGTCCTCCCAAGCCTTCTTTGTCTATCATGTGCTGGGACTTGATTCTGGTCCGGTCCTGGGCTAGGTGCTATACACACGGTTTTTCACTGTCTTCTCGGCAACCTTTGGAGGCAGGCACTCTTACTGTCCCAAACTGAGGATCAAAGAGATAATGGTCCCACCAAAGTCACACAGCTAGTTGCGATGGAGCCAGGATGCAAGTCCAGGCCTTGGCTTCCCTCATCCATAAAATGGGGACAATAAACCCTGCCAGCCAGAGCTCACAAGGACAACGGCAGACGGAAAATCCTTTGAAGTTACAAAATTGACACTGCGTTTCCATGGTCATCTCAGTGGCAGGACAGGTTCCCCGTTCTCTGGTTTCTCTAGAATCAGTTCCACTTGTGGGGCTTCTCCACGGTGCCAGGAGAGCCGGGTCCCCGTGGGCCTGCGGTGTGAAGGTGAGTCTGCGGGGTGGGCTCTGCCAGGCACTGCACTAGGCACTTGCCACGTGGCGTAGCAGTCTGTCAGCACAGCATCCCCACGAGGCGGGCACGCTTCACACCCCCGCTTCACAGATGAGGGGCAGCCCCAGCAAGGCTCTCCAGCTTGCCGAGGTCACACAGCGGGGAAGGAAAGACCCTCATGCGAGCTTTAAAGCCCGCGCTGTATCCTGCTGACAATGCTGACCACCTGCTGAGCACGTGTCATGTGCCAGGGACTCACGCCCCCCAATATCCCCTAAGACTGGTCCTGTCATTTTCAGCCAAGGTCTTATCATTTCACCCAAGTTCATATGGATTGGAAATCGGCTCCATCTGACTCCCAAACCCGGCCCTCGAGGGCTCTGCTGCCCTGGGGCACCACAGCCCCAGGGAGGCAGCCCCAGTGGGGCCGCGGGGTACTTACCTCCTTTATGAAGTTCATGAAGCGGCCGCCAAAGCGCCAGGCCTTGTGCCGATGGCACTGCAGGGAGTTCACGGTCATCTGGGGGGCCCGCTGGTAGCACACGGACACGATGTGGACGGCGTCGTACAGTAAGGCGGCGTCGGTCTGGAGGGGGGGCCCAGGGCCTGCCTGAGAGCGGATCCGGAGTCCCTCCCGCCCTCAGCCTGCCTGCCCTGTCCCCCGGCCCTGCCCCAGCCACTGCGACGTGGTGTCCTGGGGCGCCAGAGGTGACCTGTCCATGCCTCTGTTGAGAGGCCAGGCACGGCTGATTGCTGCCCCTCGGACGCCCACAGGCCCCTCTGCAGCTCAACCTCCTCCTGCCAGCCCCCGCCACCCCGCCCGGCTACCCCATGCCGCCGTTCCCTAGCCTGACCGCACCTCTTCTCCCTGCCTCCTCAGCCCTCACACCTGCGTGTCACAGCCTCGGGTCCACCGTGCCCAGGGTCCCTGGGCCTCACTCCTGCTCTCGGTGACCACGTGCTAAAGGCCTGGGTCCCCACCAGATGGGGCCCTTGGGGTGAGACCGTGTCTGCTTCATCTTTGTGTCCCCAGCCTCAGCCGGGGTCTGGCCAACACATGGCAGGTCCCGAGAAGGAAAGGGGTGGGTGGGAAGAAAGAGCTGGGAGGCAGGAGAGCAGGAGAGGAGGAAGGCAGGCGGGGCGCCCCTGGAACCCGCCCTGGCCGCCCTACCATCATCACTCCGTCCAGCAGGCCCGACTCTGCCCGCGGAGCTGCCTGCAGCCGCTCCATGGACCACTTCTCCACGATGGCCGAGACGTGGGGGTTGTCCACGTTGAGGATCCGGAAGCCGGTCAGGTTCACCCCTGAGTAGCGGTAGGGCTCCAGGTCTAGCGCATAGAGATCCTTGACAGAGAGAGGGTCGTGTGGGTGGAGGTGTGGCCCTGCCGTGCGCCCAGCCCACTCCCGCCCCCAATCCAGCCCCGCGGGAGGCGAGGGCTCTCGGAGCAGTTCTGGGAGCCCCTTAGGAGCACGGCCCTGGAGTCTGACTCAGAACTGGGGTCTGCCGGGCGACAGACTCCAAGTGCTAACTGGGGGCCTCGGCCTGTTTCTCCAACTACGAAATGGGGATCAGTCGCCTTTCTAGGACCCAGAGAGACAGTTCCCACAAGATGCCCAGCCTCACGCACCAAAGCAGCTTCCTAACGCCCGTTTCCTCCTGTGGGGAGACCTGCTGCCCAAGCTAGGGAGACAGAGGACACCGGGTCTGGGTATCACTAAGTTACCTGGAGGAGGAGTATTATCCCCTAGAAGAGGGTGTTTAAAAATAGTCTTTTCCACCTGGGACTCAGAGTGCTGCCCTCTTCCCTCCCCTCGTCCCCAACCTCCCTGCCAGGGCCTCCTGGGCCCTGCCTCCTAGGAGCAGCTGACAGCTGTCAGCCTGCCTGTCGTGGGCCAGGTCACATGCAGCCAAAGGACCAGGGGGACAGGGTATTAACACTCAGGTGCCCCTCCCTGCAGCTCCAGCTCTGGGGGCAAGGTGGGCTGGTGAGGGCAGGGGGCAGAGGGAAAAGCCAAGTGTCCCTAAGCTAGGAGGGGCGGCAGTGGAGCAGTGGTGGCAGGTGGGAATGCAAGGAGCCAGTCAGTTCTCTGTCCTCTTGGAACACCCCGAAACCTGGAGTCAGGCAAAGGAGAGCAATGTGTCCTTTCACTAAGATGAGAGAGATGCAGTTTCCCAGGCCTGCCCAGCGTCTCCGGGACAACGCACCAGGTTTGAGCTCACTGTCAGCTCCTGGTTAAAGGCCCAGACTCTGGTCTAACTTGTAGACTTTTCTCCATAGAAAAGTCAATCCTCAAGGCTATGGTGCTATTGCCTTACAGGACATTAATCCATTTTCTGTCTAACCTGGCAGTCTCATTCTATGCCCACCCGCTGCCCGAAATACCCATAACTACCCAATTCCTCCAATGCGGTTCGAGCTGGCTTTACCATCCTCCTGCTTCCCTCATTAGTGGGTTGAATACATCTCTGACACACGTTCCTTCTGCATTTGCATGAGACTCACGTTTCTGACTTTTTGAAATATACACATTGACAATCTTAATTGGCCCCATCCCACTAGTGGGGAAACTGAGTCTTAAGGTCCTCGTCTGAGCTCTTCCCTGCCTGTTGTCTATACCCTCCCACACTCTCCCCACTAAACAGCCTTCCGCCTGGCTCCTGCCTGTCACTCCGTCCCCTGCTGGGACAGAGTGGCTGGGACACATCGTGGGCTGCACTTGTCTCTCCGTGACTGCCACCACCACGAGGCACATGCAGCCCATCACAGTCTCAGCTTCCGCAGATCTGTGACGAGGTGATGAGTGATAAAACCTGGAGCCCTTTCACACTGTGCTGGCTTCCTCTGGCCCATGTCCTGAGGGATGCCCCACTCCCCCTGTTACTCCTGCACCCCCAACATGCCCTCCTCTGGAATGCACCATGCTGGTTTCCTTTTTGATGATTTGGGAAGTAGGGAAGAGGTCTGGAGCAGGCTTAAGGCCAGGCGAGAATGTCAAGTTCCAAGCTGGCCCAAGCAAATGTGGCCCTAACTCTTGGTGAGGATCAGGGACGGGGAAGGGACTGGGGGAGAGCAGGAGACGAGGGCTTCAGCAGATGGGGGTGTCTATATGGCCCCAGTCTCAGTGGGGAGCAGAGGGTGGGCACAGTGCTCAGCCCTGCACATGGAATATATATGTTTTAATCTCCACAGTCCCATGAAGCAGGTATTTAATATACTTGAGTCTCTTTTTACAGATGAGGAAAGAGGGTCAGAGGGATGAGGTGACTTGCCTAAGGTCATACAGCTCATTAAAGGCAGAGCTGAATTTGTACCCTGGTCTGTTTCAATGCTGTGCTGGCCCATGCAGGCCACGAGAGCTGAAGGTTAGCATTCCTTCCCAAGTCTGCGTTCAGCGACATCACACGGGTGGCTGATATTGGCCGTGGTGGGAGTATCTGCACCATGGAAATTTGCAAGCATTACAAATCACGGTTTTTGTGTTTGTTTTTGTTTGTTTGTTTTTTCCCTTTCAGAGGGCTGGCTGTTAAACATTTACTAATGCAACGTTGTTTGTCTTACTCAAAAACCCCTGTGCTCTATGTCCCCAGTGGTTGTCTCACGCAAGACATGCATCCGAATTGTCTTTTGGAGATTTTTTTGTTTATTTGTAAAGTAAGGACCACATCTAGATCTTCTGATCCAGAGTCTGGGTGGAGCTTGGGAAATCTGTTCTTTGAAGCCCCTATTCTAACCTGCTGCTCAGGACTGGGGGACACACAGGGAGGGGTCTGGGTTTCAACTGGGATGCCTGTAGAGTTGGAGAAGGGCAGCAAGGTGGGGAGGACACACGTTCTAGAAGCCTCTCCCAGGGCAAACAGTGAGGTGATGGGTATGCAGCCAGAACATCTGGGTTCGAGCCTCATCCACTCTGCTCACCTCAGTGGCCTCATCTGCAAAATGGGGGTGATAATACTAGCTGCCATGGAAAATAAATGAGTTAATAGATACACTTGGGACATGCCAGGTACATACTAAGCATTATGTAAGTGTCTGACAAATACTCCTGCTCTGCCTTTTCTGACAGCAGGTTGTACTGATGATCGGGAACAGCCCCCAGGGACATTACTGGGTTACTGGAGCAGACATGGGTTGGGCCTTCTGGTCTTACCCCTCTTGGCAACATAGAAGCAATCACAGGGAGCCAACATTTATGGAGCATCTATCAACCTCAGCACAGCAGGCCCTGTTCCAGGGGCCTTATATGTTAATATATTACCCTGTTTAGTTCACATGGCCACCCTACAAGGAGGTGCTATTATCAGCCTAGTTTAGAGGGAGGAGCAGAGCCATGAGAGAGCAGGCCTTCTGTCCCAGTAGTGGGGAGGTGGGGGTCAACTGCAGGCTGTGGGGCTCCAGGGCCTCCCTCCGGGACACTCCTCCCACGCGCGGGCTCTGACCACCCGGTCTCCAGTGCACGCCCATGGGACGCGGGGGTCACTCTGCACGCAGGGACTGCAGGGATCTTCCTGAAGTGTAAATCCGCCTCTGCCACTCTCATGCTTAAAACATTTCAATGACCCCTTATATCCTTCCCGGAATAAAGTGCAAAATTCTTAGTACGGTTCTGGAAAGCTCTCCACCCTCCGGTCTCACTCCACCTCTCCCATTTTGTGCCCTGGCAACACCAAAATACTTTAGTCCCCCCTTCCGGTACCTGGTGGCCTGGCCCCCTCATGCTGCTTCTCAGCCCAACGTCCAGTGCCTTTGCCACGTTCTGTGCCCTGGCTGGAACGCCTGTCTTCCTGCCCCCTCTTCGGTGGACTAGTCTCTAAGAGTCACCTCTTCCAGGAAGCCTTCCTTGACTGCTCTGCTACACATGCACAATACGGTAAGTCAGGGGTCCTTCTGCTCCCCTGGGCTTTCACCCCACTGGTAACAACTGTCTGGGTCTGGGTCTGTCTCTCCTGTGAGCCCAGGGACAAATATTTTCACCCAAAGTGGGAAGAAGGGCCAGCCAGCTAGGCTGCCTGGGTCACTTAAACATCAGGGGAAGGGCCTGGAGTGCAGAGACTGGCATTTCACAGCCTCCTCTCAGGGAGAGCTGTCTGTGGGCCTGGAAGTTAGGAGTGGTTTGGTGAACTCCTCGGGGTGCAGGACGGTACCTTCCCCAAACTGCCTCTGCAGGAGGAGTGTGTGGGGAGCTGGGGGGATTTCGTTTTGGGGAATGGCGGATGCCAGTTTGAAGCTGGAGCTGCACTGCTGGGGCCATGGAAGAGAAGTGGAGCTCTGCCCCCAGGGGGCGCCCTCCCCACCCGTCCTTGCATGGGCTCAGCCTCTCCAATTCAACGATGACCTAATACCCAAGGCTGGAGAGACGCCAAAGCATTAGCCTGCCCAGGGCCGCCATGACTCAGTTTACCCTCCTCTAGGACCAGAGGCTGACCTCAACGTGAAGGGGGGCATCCCCGGCCGTGGCGGGGGCGTGAGTGCTGGTGAGACCAGCCCGCCCCGCCTGCAGATGCATTGCCTGTTGAGACACACACTGAGCCTGTGGCCAGTCAGAGCCCGAGAGGGGGCTGATGGGGCGGCGGACTGGGGGCCACCCTCCTCCCTGGCTCCCTCCAGCCTGGGCTTAGCTGCAAAGTGGTGTAGGGCCTGTGACACAGTGTCCCCATCACTGTCACGTGAGGGCAGTGACAATGGGGAGCTGGTGAAGAGGCCCTTTTGTCCAGCTCCAGTTTTTTTTTTTTTGCCCAAATTGCCCTGGGCCAAGACCCCAAGTGCTGTACACAGTGAACTGTGTGCAACCTTGCTGCTTGGCAAAAAGTTGCGTTCTTGATGCCAAATGTTGACACACTGAATTCAGTATCAACGAGGGACCTTTTAGAAACATTCAGCATAACATAATAGACTAATTCATTAGCACCCCATGGGTCTGAATGGGTAGAAGCTGAAGCTCGGAAAACATCGCCTTAAGGAATGACAGATGAAAATATCTTCCCCATGATATAACTGTTATTGCCGGGAAGTGGCATTAATTGTGATTGCTTATCTATTAATTTATTATAATTCTTTTTTCACCTCCAGGCTTTTACCTAACACATGACATGTAGCAGGGGCTCAGCTGGGGCTGATTAACGCAGGGTTATCTGGGAATGGCTCGAAGCTGGCTGGAACAGATAATGGCAGCTGGGGTAATTAAAATGTCTTCTGCACGGGAGAAGGAAACTTGGAGAATTTTTTAGAAAGAGTTGGTGACGTGGGATTCCTAAAGGGAAGGAGGTAAATGCCAAATGCCACTGTCCTCCCAAACGCAGCTGCAGCTGACCGATGGGCACAGTGACAGAGAACCACGAGGCGGAGTCCTGGGCCAGCAGGGCTGGAAGGAGGGGCCTGAAGCTGGGGGCAGGACATGGCACGGAGAGGACCCCGGGGGACAAAACTGATGCCCTGATGTGGGCACTTCTGGGAATACCCTGGCAGACAGCCCCCCCAGTCTCTCCATAAGCCAGTGAGGAGCAAGACTCTGCCCTGCCAGCCTCAGAGGGGTGAAGAGGAGCATCAGAAGGCTTTGGAACCAGGAATTGTGGGTGCCCTGGCATTTGCAGAGGCTCTGTTCCCTGCAATGGCCCCGATCACCATGTGTGGACCATCGTGACCAGCCATTGTGTGGAACTGAGCTGGCCAGAGGAGCCCAGGGAACGCTTTGTGTGGACTGCCAGCACAGCAGGTTTCAGCAGGTGGCTTTGGAACTGGTCAGCGCCCTGCTGGGGAGAATTCCTGCTCTGCCCTTTCTTGCTGAATAACCTCTCTGAGCCTCAGTTTCCATTTTTCTGTAAAACTGGGAGAGGCATATCTCCCTTGGAACGTGATTCCGAATTTTGGTTGGGGTAGGGTATGCTGAGCACTGACAGAATACAAGGAGGAGTTATTTAATTAGTTCATTCAACTTGCACAGGAATAAGTGCCAGGCGTTGTTCTTAGCACTTTACCCATGTCAATGCATGCCACACTCATCTTAATAATCCTATGAGGTAGTGCGTTATTGTCACCATTTTATAGAGACCATTTTATAGATGGTGAAATGAGGCACAGAGAGGTTGAGTAATTTGCCCAAGGAAGTCGAAGAGCCTGGATTCTAACACAGGCAGACTCACACCAGAGCCCCTGGTCTAAACTGACTGCTGCTATGATGATGTATTGACAATTTTACTGATTACTTTCTACTTTGTACTGCATCATTCGTTCATCCATCCACCCATCCAGGCATTAGTGAGCACCTACAGTGGACCAGGTGCTATTTGGGCGCTGGAGACAGAGGTGACCCAGGCACAGTCCTGATACTTAAATACCCAAAGGCAGCCCACCAGATTGTGAGCTTTGTGTTAGATCCACCTCTGTACACCCACCCACTGCAGTGCCTGGCTCAGTGCCTGGGACCTTAGAAAGTATTTGTGTACGGCTGCTGCACAAATGAACAAATGAATGACTGATTAAGGAAATGAAAGGTAAGAGAAATGAACACTGTCTGGGGATAGGGTAGGGCCCCGGGGCACTAGGATCCTTTTCCTAAGATTTCCGACCTTGACCCCAGTGGGCAATGGCATTAATGTGGAGGGTTCTGGGGTCACTGGGCTGTTGCCTTCTCCAGAGTCTGGCCCTGGAAGGTCAGCCAGGCCTCGGGGCTGAGGGTCCAAAGCTTCAGGCTCTGCTGTTCCACCAGTTCCCTGAGGGGATGCCCCTTCTGGCCTTGGAATGAGGGCTTGAGCCTGTTGGAAATGCTTTTAAGTATTTACACCTGGGACTGGGAACAAGGCCCAAAGGGAATTTATGACAGGCCCAGTGTGGACAGAGTGGGCTAGGAGGGTGTACTCAGGGTGAGTGAATGAGATATACAGGTTTTGCTCCTGCCCTGACCACAGGATGCTTCTAAAGGAACCTCCCAGTGTCCCAGCCCTCCTGCTCGATGGCTCCGTCGTGTATTCTCTGAGCCCGTGGGCAGACCTCAGATGACTGGCCAAGGATCGGTCCCCTGTCCCAAGGATGTTTCTACCATCTGGCTGGTGACCCAGCCCCCACTCTGGTAGCATTTAGAAATGTAGGGGCCATGTATTTGTTTGTCACTAAGACTGGAAATGAGTGAGTGGGGCTCAGGGATGCTAAACATTCTAGGGTGGGCAGGACATTCTGGAACGACCAACTGTCCAGCCCCAGATGCTTGTTTCTTCCAGTGCAGACACACTGGCTGGTGCTCGGCCGGTCAGATGCGACTGGGAAAGTGGGCGGTGCTCAGAGAGAGCGGTGGTGAGCAGAGGCAGGGGAGGTCACTCCCAGGGGGATGGTCACTGGGGTGAGATGTGTCCGGGCAGCTGCGATGCACTGAAGCCTCCGGGGACAGAGAGAACAGGCAGGAGCAGAAGCCCAGGGCAAGGGGGGGCGCCAGGGGAGAGGCAGGGAGCAGGCATGGGGGTGAAAACCACAATCCCTGCAAGGTCCAAAGTTGCTCTGGATCCAGAGCCACCCTCTGTGTCTGCCCTTGTGGCCTGTTGGTTCATTCTAGAACTCCCTGATGACGTGCGGTTACCTGAGCGAGTTCTGCTCCTTACAATCAGGAGAGGCCAAGTGGGGGAGCTGGAGCCCAAAAGCATCACAGCACAGAAAGGAAGCCGGCCAGGGGCTCAGTAAGCTGCCCACATGCACGGCTAAGAGGTGGTGGAGCAGAAGCTCGCACTCTTCCCTGTCTGCCTCCAAGGCCTGCTCCCCCACTGTGCTGCAACGTGCGGGGGCGCAGTCTGCAGGGACCCGAAGCAGGCCCGGAAGGTCGGTCTGCCTCTGCAGTGCTCTCTTGTCCCTCCCCCGTGCCTTCTCATCATGGACTCCAGGGCTTGTCACACCAACCCAGGTTGCCGAGGCCCCAGGGAGGTGACCCAGTGTAATGAAAGCCCAAGAAGGATGTGCTGGGCTACTGAAGCAGGGCTGGCTGAACCCCCAGGGCCCAGAAGTTGGTCTCGGCGCCCTAGGTTCCCAGGGCGGGACGGGAGAGGGCCATGGGCCCCTGGAGTGTGCCCCGCCCCACCTTCCCAGGCCTGCTCCTCTGCCCTGTTCCCAGCTCTGGACAGAAGTAGAGCATCAGGGATCTGGAAGCCTCATTCTAAGCCTCTGGTGACTTTCCAGGACTCAGCATGGCAGGGAGAAGCAGAAATCCAGGAGGGGTTTGGGGGAGAAGGTGTCTGGTCACAGTCCCTGGCTTCCAGGGTCCCTCTCTCCCAACATGGCTCCTGGCAGGTGCCCAGGTCTGTGCCCCAGACCAGAAGAACATGCAGGGGGGCCCCTGAGTTCTGCCACGGGCACACGGTGTGGAGGGTTTGGGGGTGGTGAAGGTACACGCTTCATATCCAGCTGCTAGGGGAGGGGCTTACTTGTAGCACTTGCCAGGTTCTGTGGCGTAAGTGCTCCCGACACGGCCATTTCAAGGTGCCAACACACGGCCATTTCAAGGTGCCAACACGATGTGGCTTTGGGAGAGGTACACAGTCGGCTCTCACACCCGGGCACGCCAGCTCCAGCACCGCTGAGGGCTAACCTCCCTCTTGGCCTCGACGTATGCTGTTCATTCTATGTAGAACACCCTATCCTCTCTCTCCCTTGGCGAACTTCTACTGACCCTTCCAGGCCCCGTTCAAGGATCTGCTTTTCGGTGAAAATGGCCCCAAACATCCCACCTTGCACCAGGCCCTCAGCACTCAGCACCTCCTAGGCGCCGGGGCAGGCACCCTAACTGGGTGCTGGATAAATGGATGAATGGACACAGTTAGAGACCCGCAGCTCTGCAGCGGCCAGGCCAACGCAGACTGCGGGAGGCTCGTTGCAGAGAGAGGACGGTCAGCGAGGCTGTCACTGGCTCCAGACCTGGGACGGGTGGAAGCGCCCCAGCGAGGTCTGAGGGCGTCTGGCTCCAAGGCGGGGTGGCTCAGTGCCGGTGCCCCTTGGCACAGGGCTCTCTTTATTCTGCTGATCTCAGGCCACAACTAATTATCCTAATGGGTTTAAATGGCCCTAAATGTTCTTGGAGTTTGGACAGGCCCCATCTGGAGCCTGTAGGTGGGCTGGCCCAGCTGACAGTGAGTGGGCAGACGTCAGCATGGATGTCGCAAGAATCCAAAGTGGCACTTTCTGTGAGGCCCGAGACATGTGTGGGGAAGCGTGGGCTAGGAACCAAGGGTCATGACAGTAAAAATAGCTAATACTTCTGTAGCTCTGCATGGGCCAGGCACTGCCATCCACATTTTACCTTATTAACTTATTTAGTACTCACAACAGTCCTAGGAGGTAGAAGCAGAGGAAGAAACTGGGGCAGGGAGCTTAAAGGACTTGCCCAAGGTCCCACAGCCAGTGAACAGAAGAGCTTTGTTCATAATTGGCTCCAGAGTCCCTGCCCCTAATTATATCATGCTGCTTCTCAAAAGCAGGTGGGACACACAGACATCTTTGTGCCCTTACCTAGGGCCACACCTACAGCCTTAGGAAGCAAGTCCACCCTGATCTCCTCTAGCTGCAGCAAGTGCCCCCAGTGGGCTGGCCCAAGCAGGGCAACAACGACCTTGAACTAAGGAGCCCCACCCCGTCCCCGTGCCCGTTCCCAGGGGTACGTTACCAGAGTGGTGAAGATGAAGTGGTAGTACTCGGTCATCATGCCCATGGCCATGGCCTGCAGGAAAGCAGAGCGTTAGCTACCAGCAGGGACATCCATGCAGCCCCCTCCACCCCCTGCCCCAGGGCTGAGGACAGGCAGGGATGGGGGACAGGATGGGACTGGCAGTGGGTTGGGGGAGGCTGGCTGCATGGAGCGGGGTGTTTTCTGAGGCCACCTCCAAACAGCGACAAGTACTAGCTACCGACAGCAGTCAATTTTGCATTGAAGTGTGCAGCAAAATCACCTGGGACAGATTAAAATGCAGATTTTTGGGTCACATTCTCCACAGATTCCAAATTCTGCAGGGCCTGATGGGGTCCAGTTGTCTCTTTTTAGAAAGCGTCTCTGAGCCTGCCACGCTTGGAGAAATGCTGACGGAATCAGCACGAGACTGAGACCGCCTTCGCCAGTGCTCCTTGCTCCGCTGAGCTCCCCGCTCTGGCTCCAGAGAGCACAGCCTGCCCGCACAGCCACCCGGCCCCAGGGGCGGGGGATGTGGCCTCGGTCTGAGCTTCCCCCAGAGGGGCTGAGACATCCCTCCTTCCCCAGTCCTAGCTGACCACAAAGTGGGTCACATGGCTGCTGTGGAATTACTGTTACATACCATCATGAAGGCTACATTATACTGGGTTATTAAGTATGAAATGTCTGATTTCTTTAAGTACTAAGTGTGACAGCTGATATCTGTGACATTTCACTTTGACACTTTTATTTTTATTGTGATGGTACATCCTCAGTCTTTCAAACACACATTTTGGCTTGTGATTATTTTTCAAAGTTTTTTTTTTAGAGCAATTTTTGCGAAACCATGGATAAGTCAAAAATTCGTGTTATTTTCGAATATGAGTTCCATCGTGGAACCAATGCAGCGCAGACAGCTCAAAATATCAATGCAGTGTTTGGGAAGGATGTGGATAATGAATGCACAGTATGTTGATGGTGTGAGAAGTTCCATTTTGGTGATTTTAATCTTAAAAACGATCCACGTGGGTGACCTGAGACCAAGGTTGATAATAATGAGCTGAACTCTGTAGTGGAAGCAAATCCATCTCAACTTACACATGAATTGGCAGCAAGGTTTGACATTATATTCCAAAAATATTGGACCCTTTGAAAAAAATCAGCAAGGTAAAGAAGCTGGATAGATGGGTACCGCATGAATTAAACGAGCGTCAGAAAAGAAATCGTCTCAAAGCTTGCCTTTCTTTGTTGTCATGACACAAAGGCGAACGATTTCTACACTGTATTATTATGTGTGATGAAAAATGGATTCTTTTTGACAATTACAAGCATTCAGAACAATGGTTGGATAAAGATGAAGTGCTGAAACACAGCCCAAAACCAAATATTCATCAAAAAAAGCACATGTACTCATGATTAAACTGGAACTAATCGATCAACACTCATGTGCACATATGGTAGTAAAACTCAGTGGAAACCAAGCAGGTGGGAGGGGGCAAGTGGGGAGGGGTTAATTCACACCTAACGGGTACAATGCATGTTATCTTGGTATAAAGGCCCATTTATAACTTTGACTCAAGTGGCACAAAAGCAATTCATGTAACCAAAACATTTGTACCCCTATGATACTCTGAAATAGTAATTAAAAACAGAAAAGCTAATGGTGTCTGTTTTGGGGTCCAGTGCTGGTATTGTCCACTACAGTTTTATGAAACCCAGTCAATCGATCACAGCGATGTCTACAGCAACCAATTGGATGAAATGATGAGGATGCTTGCGATTAAGCAGCTGAGATTGGTCCCTAGAGATAGGCCCATCCTCTTGCAAGACAACACTCGACCACATGTTGCACAAACAACGCTGCTCAAACTACAGAGGCTGGACTGGGAAGCTCTCTGTCGTCCACTATATTCACCAGATCTTGCACCGACTGACTAACCCGTCTTCCAGGCTTTGGACCACTTCTTGCAAGGAAAAATATTCAATTATTAGCAAGCTGTGGAAAACGCTTTTCGAGATTTCATCACCACTTGCTCTTGAGGCTTCTTCGCTGCTGGCATAAACAAGCTATTAAATACCATTAAGATGGCAAAACTATCTTGATAGCTTAGGCTCATATTTTGATTAATTGTACTGCTTCTTGTTTGAGATACAATGAATTAAGCTTTTGTTTCGAAATCGGACATTTTGTATTTAGTGACCTAATATATAGTTTATGTGTTTTATTGGATGTCTATAATTCATTTCCTACAGAGTGCCTCAGAATGCTGGGTCCACAGAGTGCTCTGGGGAGAAATGTCACTGGGTCAAGTACACTTTGCATATGCCATGCATTCCCTCCCACCTTGGGGACTCAGCTCACATCAGCACCTTAAAGTCTCAGAGAAGTCCTGCGGTAAGAGATGGGCTTATCTTTGTTTAATTCCTGGTTTAACTGAACCATTCCTAATTCTAGAAGTTTTCAAAGTTTCAAAGACAGACCTAGGGGTAGATTCCAGCTCCCTGGCTGGATGCCCTTGGGTCCATTACTTCCCTGTTGAACCTCAGTTTCCCTACCTGTAAAGTGGGCATGATCATCCTCCCTATTTCCCAGGACGGTGGAAGGAGGAGTGACATGGACCTGGCACAGAGTAACCGCTCATTGACCCCGGGTCATGACTGTCCCTACTACTCCGTGCCATGTGCTGGGAAGGGAAGAGAAGCACTGGCACAGTTGGCCAGGAGGATGAGGGCTAAGGGATTTCTGGGGCGTGTGTGTTTCCTCGCCTGTGGCTTTAAAGGTACCACTTAAAGTGTTGACTGTGTACTGGGCACTGGGAAAAACGCTTCCCCCGTCTTGCCGCAGCCCCAGTACTGCATGCGGTGGGGATCACCAACCCCGTCTGCAAGGAGGGGCGGGAGCCTGCGCCACTTGCTCCAGAGCCACAGGCCATGGACGTGCAGAAGCAGAACTCAAACTCTCAAAGGAGCCTCTCAGCCACCGTGCGGAGGAGCTTCCTGTGTGGGGGCAGGGGACAGAGGCTGCCACTCAGCCTGGGCACCCCTTATGGGGCCCAGCTAGAGGACAGGACTTGAGCTCCTCCAGGCCTTGAAAATGCCGAGTCGCCCCCTGTACCCTCTAAGTCCCCTACTTGCCACCTGGGCCTCACCGGGTCATGTGTCAAATCCCCACAGAATGCCTCTTCCAGCCACCAGCATGCTTTCTGGGATGACATAATTGCCTTTTACACAAAGCGCCGGCTCAAATCAGTGTTTTTGGTGTCAGCTGCAGCACCCTCAGAGGGGGTTGCGGGCGATTTCGCTGTTTATTTTCCTAGGTGGCTGGCAGAGCTTGGCTCCCGTCCGCAGCATGCCACGCTGAGCTGGGAACGGAGGCCCGCCCGGACTGAGAGCCATTCTCCTCCCCCACGTCACTGCAGAGCTGAGCAGATGGTACGAGGAGACTCGATAAACCTCCCAGTAATAGGAGAGTAACACCAAGTGCCGCGGGCTATGGGGGATTAGTCACTGGGAGAGGCAGTGAGGCATTCTGGGGGCCGTGCCTGGGAATCTGGGGCCCCTCTGCTTCCCCAAGGTTCTGCTGCCATGCGGCTTCAGGCACTGACAAAGAGGTGGCGTCTACTCAGGCCTGGCTGGGGCAGATCATCCACTCTCACACCAACTCAGAGCGCGTTTTGCTGCTGTGACCACCCAAGGTCACACAGCCCCCAAGCGGCAGAACTAGGAGCCAAGCTTAGGTCCGGTGGCATCACACCTTATCTGGGAAAGAGGAGGTGGGAGAGGTGGCGAGCAGACCCCAGCCACCCACCCCAGCTCCGGCCCACCGCTGGCCAGCACTCACGCACCTGCTTGAGGATCTGGGCCGCCATGGTGTGGCTGCAGTCGAAGATGATGCGGAATTCCCGGCCTCGCTTCATCTCCTTGAGCAGGGGGCGCGAGTCATCGGAGTCGATCGGGAGCTGGCGGATCTTCAGGCGGATGTTGTATCTCGATGGGGCCATGATGAGCTCCTGCAGCCGGATGAGCCCTGAGGGCCATGGGGCACAGAGACACACGTGTACACACATGGACACACAGGCATCCACCCAGACTCGTGTGCACACACGTGCCTTGGCTATAGGTCTGCAGACACACACAGACACAGGTATGTGGCCCACAGAGATGTGTGCATGCGCATGGACAAGATCTGAGAGCAGATGCATGTGCCCATACAAACACATGGTTCATGCACATGCATGTTGATACGGACGGGACATACACTTGGGCTTATAAACACATGTGTGTGCCTGTAGATTAAGGCCTATGCACACACAGATACATGAACACACATATGCATACTGAAAAGTAGGCATGGACACAAATTCCCACCGTCCACACTACCACGCTCTAACACAGAATGGGTGTGGAAACTTGCAGAGCCTGAACCAAAGGCCACCCTTCTTCTTTTGCCCACCCTGCATTGTGTGACATGGGGTATAATTTCCCTAAACATCTCCAACAAACTGCTTCCAGGATGTGGGCATGAGAGGCAGCTCCAGCCCCACTGTCCCAACCTGCACCACCCTTTGGACTGGGTAAGGCCAGGTTGTATCTGTGTCTCCTCCCTGCACCAAGGACAGGCTCCTTGGTAAACCCTATCCATGCTTCCAGGGCTAATGCAACCACTCCTCCCTGAAGCCTTCCTCTATTGCTCTGTTCAGCAAAGATGCCCCTTTCCAGATGACCCCCACCCCAGCTTGGTGGCCTCCTCCCTCAGCACTAGCCTCCTCTGGCCTCACCTCCCTCCCCTTGTCCTGCTATGAGCACCTTGATACCCGGGGCTGGGTCCCCATCACCCTTAGCACAGGGCCTGTCCTTAGGGGGAACTCAACAGGAGTTTCTGTAATTGGACTGACTTACTGCTTTTTTCTCCCCACATTGAAAAATCTATCCTCCACCTTGGTTAGCATTTTGTAAAACCACTTAATCTGAGGACTTCCAGGGAAAACCGAATGTCACTTCCGAGAGACGAATGGCTTGCTTAGGTCTAATTAAGTCCATTTCCACCCCCATTTCAAGGTCCATTCTTGCCAGCTTCTCTCTGCATAGCTGGGGAGCAAGCCTGCTCGCTGCTCTCTATAAGCCTCCCCCCACTGGAGGGAGGGGCTGAGCCAGCACTGAGCGAGGTCCCGAGCAGGCCATGCCCTGCCCCGCCCACTCTCAGGGCTCAGTGTTCACACAGCATGCTCCGTCACCCCCACTAACAGCACTCCGATTTTCCTTTGCGGAAAAACTCCTGTCCCGCTCTCAGTTTGTGGCTCAGGAGGGATCTATGCCCAGCACTCCTGGCAAGGCACGTGGGCCCAGCCTGGCGGGTCAGTACAGCCTCTTGGAGCTGGTACTGACTTAGAGGTGGAGAACGACACAGTGGGTTCTATCAGAGCGACTCCCAGAAATCGTGCTAGAACAACTGGCACAAGAAGGGGGTAAGAGACATCTCCTTTACCATTCAGCTTCAAATAGGGAGGAAGTAAGTCTGAGCGTCAGCACTTAGAACTGAGAAGGATTCCAACAGGGCAGGAGTCAGAGAGGAAGAAGCCCTGATGGTGTGCATTTGAGCCTCCGCAACAGACAGTACCTGAAGCTAAAGCTACTCCTGAACTTTCCAGTAAAGACAGCCAATAAATCCCCACCCTCTTGATGGACATGCTTTAAGCTCTGATTTGGGTGGGGCAAAGGCAATATATGTAACCTAAACATATGCATCCCTGTAATATGCTGAAATAAAAAAAAAAACACCCTACCCCCTTTATTTATTTGTTTATTGCTTAAGCTAGTTTGCATTGGATTAAAGTTTACTTTCAACTGTTACAGTGTGCCCCAATCGGGAAAGAGTCCCCCCACTCAGCCCACTTCAGAAGCCTTCCAACACAGAGCTAGTTTCCAAAACTATCTCTAGTCCACACAACTGGGTCTGCTCAGCTCTCATTCCCACTCCCGTGGCCTGGACATCGGGAAAGCAATCTGACTGGTGTCCATCAGTCCACTCTGCCGGGGAGGGCAGAGAAACATACCTGTAACCCCAGCATCCCAGAGGGCTCCCAGACAAGCTTTGCCATGGCCGTGGGCATCAGGGACCCCCAGCCCACCGAACAGACCCAAACCTGGTTCAGGGATTGGCAGAGGGCTCTGGACCAGACAGGGGCCCAGTGCCTCCAGGCGCCAGACTCGGTGGGGAGGAGGAAGAGGATATCAGCCGACCTTAGCAAAGGAGGAGAGGCCACAAAGCTACCCCCAAACACACACCCTGGCCTGTCCCCTCCCAACGTAGCTCAGACATTCTTGGCTTGGCTGAATGATGCTGCCTTTTCATACCTGTTGCCCTGAGAGGCCCAGAGTGCTCAGTTTGCTCCCACCCGCTTGGTTTTCAGACTCATGCTCAGCATTAGCAGGCGTGTGAGCTTTGGGGACCCAGGACATGAGGACTGGGACAGGCTGGAGGCCGGAGCAGAGGCCACGGGGGCCTTCTTGTCAGCCAAGCACATCGCCCCGTGTAACGCATGGTGACCCACATTCTCCAGCAGCGAATGTCAGACCTCCTTCCCATCAGCGTGCTCCCAAAGGAGACCAGAGGCTCCTCACGGCCCACCCCAACCGAGGACTAGGCTCTGTTTGCCTGAGATGAGCTTTCCTTCCTGGCTGCTTCCCTAATCAATCTCTCTTAAAATATCTGCAGTGAATCATGGTTGTTGGAATCATGCTTTTCACTCGCAAAGCACTTCTGCATTCATTACCCTATTTAACCACCTCCCAATCCTAGAAGGCATATAGAGCAAGGATTTTTGCTCCAACATTACAGATAAAGAAGCCAAGGACCACAGAGGCGAAGTGACCCTCCCAAGGTTTTGTAGCATCCTAACAATGGGATCGAAGAGACCCAATATTTTGGCTCCTAGGCTGGGTCCTGTTTCTCCACCCCAGGTTATTTAAAACCTCTTCCTCTCACCCTTGATGTAAGTTAGTCTTTGTGCACAGATTAGATCAGGAAGGTGGAGGTGTGGCAAAGCTTGCAGGGCAGACACCAGTTGCCTCCTTAGCATTCATTTCCCCCTGCGGTAGGTTGCAACGATGACCCCAACTCGTCACCCCTCTTTAGGTCCACACCCTTCGCCTTGTAACTTTGCAGCCCTCCAACCGGGCCCGACCACATGACTTGTTTGGGCCAGTGGGGGATATCAGCAGGCACAATGTAGGCCGGCACTTGAAGCGGAGCTGCACATTGGGTTTTGTCTCTTGCACTCTGCCATTGTCATGACAACGTGCCCGGGCCAGCCTGCTGGAGGACGAGAGACACGCAGAGGAGAGCCACGTTGGCCTGTCGTCCCAGTCAAGGCCAGCCTCCATCAACCAACAGCCAGCCAACCCCCAGGCAGGCGAGTGATCCGGCTGAGCACGCAGAAACTGCCTAGCCTGCAGGCTTCCGAGCTAAATAGATATTTTTATTTTAAGCCACTGAGTTTTGGGGGTGGTTTATTATGCAGCATTATTGTAACAAAATGATAACAGAGGCACCCTCTTCGAGCATTTGAAAAGAACTGTGATTTTGTTTGGATGACAACGCGCCAATCCCAAGAGATCACTCATGAAGGGTAGGAGCCAATCAGTGACAATCCCATTCCCATGTGACAGTGTCTAGAGTAGTAGGCATGGACCCAGGGAGCTATACAGGACTGTTTTCTAGAAGGTTCTGAGACAGATTTTCCTCTCTGATAATAGGCATGAGTCACATTAAGAAAAATGTCTTGGACCCCCACCTCCTGTAGGCTACTTGCTGCATACTCGGAGCTGCAGCAGCCCTGCTGTGACCACGAGGGGAAAGCCAAGAGAGCGGTGGCAACACGGACCCAGCACCCTCTCCCTGGAAAGGCCCTAACTGCCAACCTCGTCCTGGAATGGCCCACCCCAGACTTATTGTCAGTAGGATGACTAAGTGCCAATCATTCAAGTCAATTTAAGTTGTACTGTCTGTTACTTGCAGCTAAAATATCCTAATGGACACGACCCCCAAAGCAAACACAAAGCCTGCCATGGAGCACTTCCCACTCCACGGGTTTGACGACCCACAAGTTATTCTGCCCCTTGAAATATCCTGATTCGGGGAGCACGCCTCTTGCTACCCACTACTCATCATTTCCTGTTATTATTTGGCCAAATCCAGCCCTGAATCACTAGTCTCAGTCGTTTTCCTGATCAAACCCGTTCCCCTGCTGACTCCTCCATGTTTTTAAAAGTTTATTGAAGTGAATTGAGTTGAACTGAAAATCAACTTGAATTAAAGTGCAATTAAAGATTAAGAAAAGAATGTGCTGGGCCCTGCTAAGGGTGAAGAAATGAAGACGTCGTTACCCTGTCTCCGTTTGAGAAGTCAGTCGTATTACAGGGGAGTGGGTGTCCAGGCAGAGGTCACTGGTAACTCCAGGCCATCGGCGCTAGGGACCACGTGACATGCACATACGGCCAGAGCACACGGAGGAGCAAGCGCCAGAGCCCGGCATCAGCTCTGGCCAGGGTCACCAGACGGCATCCATCACCACACCGCAGCGTCCTTTCCTCTGCAAAGCCACTCCCTCCACCCCCCCAGCCTGGAGGTCCCCGCCCTGCTGGGCAGTGGTTCACGCCAGCGTCTGCCCTGACGGCTCTGTACCCACGGCCTTTCGGTTCTTTATTTCCAACACTACCCTGCTCACATCCACTTCTCTTCCATTTTGGCCCCACGTGTGCTTCCAGGCGACTCCTCCGATTCAGGCCCCCTTTGTTCCTGCCTGGACCAGCACAGCCTCCTCTGCCCATCTTCCTGCTCCAGGAGCTCCTTCCTGGGCATCGATTGCTCTCAGAACCATGTTCTGAAACTCAGCTTTGATTATTTGCTCAATAATACTCAATGGTCCTCCACTGCTTAAAAGATAAAATCTAAACTCTGAGGCTGGACATCAGAGACCTTGCACGGCCAGCTACACCTGCTTATCTGGCTTTTCCTCTCACCTCCATACTTGAATCCCTGCCCCAGCCAGGCCGTCCTCTTGGTAAGACTGCCATGCACAGCCCCACCTACTTGTTGTTGCTTAGGCTGTTCCCTCCACCTACAATGGCCTCACGACCCCTCTCCCCATCCACCCACCCTCGAGGCCCCGTGCAGATCTCTCCTCCTCTGGTAAATCAGCTCAGACGAGCAAAGGCCACAGAGCATCCCCTCCCCGAGTCCTCTCGCTCTGACCGTTTGTACATGCCACTTCATCCTTGGCTCTGATGGGCTGGAATTACCCATGACCCCTGGACCGGCACCCACTCCCCTATAATATGATTAACTTCTCAAAAGAAGACAGGATAACAACCTCTTCATTTCTTCACCCTTACACTCTTTCCTGCAATATTTAATTCCACTCGATTTTCAATTGAATTCAATCCGTTCCAATTCAATTCAGTGCAAGCAACATTTAAAACCATCCACACTGCACCCACAGTCCCCGTGCTAAATCCTGGAGGCACCAAAAGCTCCTGATCTGGAAGCAGAAACAGGCTCCTAGATCAACAATCACGCATACTGGGCTGTTAGGACAGACAGCTCCGCGGTGCCGCAGACACCCTGGGGGTGGCTTGGAGCTTGGCAGGAGCGCCCCTCAATGGCAGAGCCCTGGTGCCGGGGGCACTGAGAGGGGTGGGGGACCCTGCTCTCAGGGATCTTCTTTCTGGTGCTTTGTGTATAGCAGGAGCTCAACAGATGCTTGTAGAAGCCCAAGAGAAATAAACAACGTTCCGATTACCCTTTCTGAGGCGTCCCTCCCTACTATTTCCACTGCCCATTAGGATGTAATCAAGAGCTGACATTGAATCACGGGCCGCTGAGAGCTGGAGGGCTCTTGCGAGGCTTGTTGTGGCAGCTCTTGACACGTGGGAAGAGTGAGGCTAGATGGGTTAAGTGACTTGCCAAGGTCACTCTCTCTTAAGAGGCTGGCCTAAGAAATGTCTTGAGACTCACGTCGTCGGAAAGAAAGAGGAGAAGAAACAGCTCCACGCGGGCTATGAGGACTCCAACAGGCCTGTGGGGGTGTGAGGCTGACACTCACTAGCCGGGTGACAGCAGGCAGGACACGGCGCCTCTTTGAGCCGCAGGTTCCTCATTTCTAATTGATCACCCCACAGAGTTATTATAAGGTTTACGTGGCATTAAATGAGATCACACCTGTACCACTTTCTTCTTAGTAGGCAACAATGGTCTTTTTGTAATGTACGGATCCAGAAGCACTCCTCTCCTGTCCCTAGAGGACTCTCCAGGTCTGTGCCTGTCCTGCAGACCCTCATGAGGATGACTCAGGATGAAGGCAGGGTCCAGGCAGTGGTCAGTACCCTCTGTGGCTCTCCTCCCCCTGCCCCTTCCTGCTTGCTCAGGCCTGTCTGTGACTCACTGCAGCCCACAAGCCCTCTGTACGCAGCTGCGTACAGGGAGCTACGTGGTACCTGTCTGTGCTCCCCTATGATGCAGAGTTTGAGTTTTATTTATCCAGGTATCCCCAGCTCCCACAATGGATAAGGTCCAAAGAAAAGGCCCAGAATGCACTGGCCAGATTTGTTAGTGGATATCTGCTAAGTGTGTGCTCTGGGCCCACAATGAGGGCCTGAGACTAGAGAGGCAGGGGAAACACACTGCAGCAGGAGTTTTCTGGAAGGGCCCAGGCTGGACTTGGAGGGTTGGGCAGGACTGGGCCCAGCAGGTCCTCCCCAGAAGAATGCTGGGGTTAGGTCCAGCTGGCAGGGCGTGTGGGACAGGGGCCTCTACACCGGGGAGTCCAGCCTTAGGCCCTGGAGCCCATTCCCTTCCTCTGCCTTGGCAGGATGAGACAAGAGCCCAGTGCTTGCGTCTGTAGGCCTGGCCTTGGCTGGGGTCAGAGGTCAAGTGGGTAGGGCAGGGGCTGGTGTCTGTGTGAGTATGGCTGGGCGTGTACAGGTGTCTCTGCGTGTGAGTGCAGTGGAGGTGAGCGTGTGTGGCGGGGTGCAGGTGTGGGAGTGATCAGAAGAACGAACCTTCAGTGAGCACTCACTGGGTGCCAGGTGATTTTACACTATGCGCTTAATCTCATTTTACAGATGAGGAAACTGAGGCACAAAGAGGCTGCACCTCCATCAGGTGACAGAGTTGAGATTTAAAACCAGGTGGTTTCGCTCCAGCGTGTGCACACGTAACACTGCACCCTACCACAAGTAAGCTGCGTGTGAGTGTGCACGTGTGCGTGGACGTGCTTGTTGCAGACGGGATGAGTGAGCGTGAGAGTGTGGGCAGGTGTGGGCGTGGCTTGCAGGTGAGCGTGTCGGGCAGATTTGAGCACTCACGCTGCTGGGGGTGGGGGTGGAAGTGTGGGGAAGGTGTGAGGCAGGTGTGAGGCGAGCTGGGGTTGAGTGAGGTGTGAGCGTGGCTGGTGTGCGCGGGGGTGTGAGCAGGCACGGGGTGAGCGTCGGTGTGACGGGGTGAAGTTGGGGTGTGGGACACAGCCCTTTCCCTAGAAGCAGCTGTGTTGGAAAGACAGACAAAAGCCTGATCCTGGGGCTCTGTCCCCCCTCGCCCCCACCCCAGCCCGCCAGGCCCAGCCACCCACCTGTGCTGTCATCGTAGACCACGGTGGCCGACCGCCACTTGAGGTACTGGACCAGGTCGAGGATGGCGTGGCTGAGAGAGGCGTAGTCGGGGTAGAGGTTCACGTAGAAGGTGTCCTTGTTGTCCAGCGGGTGGTGCTTCCAGCGCAGCTGGATGTGCGGCACCTCCAGGGCGTTGCAGATGGACTGGACGGCATTGGTGCAGGAGCCCTGCGACGGCCCGAAGATCGCCACCACGCCCAGCGCCAGCTGGTCACAGGCTGCAACGGAGGGAAGGGCGGCAACGGTCAGCGTGGGGGCTGTGGGCATGGCGGGGGTCAGTGATTCTGATGACCTTGTAAACACATGGGACAAACAGCAACCACCCTGGGAGGGCGGACAGCAGACAGCTCCTGAATCTCAGCCTGCTCACCTGGAAGTGGGGCTCTAAGAGTCCCCACCCCACGGGATCGGAGTCAGGTGGAGCGTGTAAGACCAGAGACAGAGCCTGGTCCTGAGGCAGCACTCGTGACAAATAAATGATCGTCACCTTTGATGTTACCATCACTGCGATAGCGTCACCAGCTCTGTGCCAGATCCTGTCCCGGGGGAACTCGGGAAAGAAACAGGAATCAAACATCTGCTGGCTGGTGACTCTAAGGCTCCAACCTGCAGCCTAGCCTCTTCCTAAAACCTGACAGGCCTTATGCCCCAAACCTTGATTTTGTCTTCACTCTCCTCATCGTCCCACAGCCCAATCCGCAACACTCCTGTTGCTTCACCTTCAATACGTATTGCAATCTGAGCCCTTCTTGCCACACCCCTCCCCCGGTCCAAGCCACTGTGGTCTTTTGCTGGGATTACTGCAGAAGCTCCTCAGTCACCCTCCCTGCTGTCCACTCTGTGCTCAGCAACCAGAGAGCCTGTCACCCCGTAGGGTAGATGCCGTCACTCCTTTGCTCCCAGGGCTCCCATCTCAGTGTAACAGCAAAAGTCCTCGCAGTGGCCAAAGAGGCCCCATTTGGTGCAGCTCCTCCCTGCCCTTGTCCCCACCCTGGCACTCTTCTGTCTTCATCTCCCCTCCTTCTTTCGCTCTTTGCAGCACCCAAGCCCCACTGGCCTCCAGGAGGCTCCTCCAACACACTAAGCGCACGCCTGCCTCGGGGCCTTTGCACTTGCTGTCCTCTCCGGCTGGAATCTTTTCCCTCACATATCCTCATGACTCCCTTCCTCCCTTCCTTCAGGTCTCTGTGTCTTCTTAGGGAGGCCATCAATGACCAACTTGTCATAGCAACTTCAGTCCTGCCACACACCCTAAGCCCGTACCCTGTTTCATTTCTATCCTTATTAAGGACCACCAGAAGTCTTCTTCATCTGTTGACTTTCTCCTTCCACTGGCATGCGAGTTCCAAAGAAGCCAGGGCTTGATCTGTGTTGTGTATTGCTGTCTCTGCCGTGCTGAGCCGACACTTGGATGTCTAGTGGATGTCAAATCCCTGCCTCCGGACAGTTCATGTTCTTAGGGGAGGCCGAGGGCTCAGGCAGGGAAGACAGCAGGTGCTTCCCACTCAACGGGGGTCGCCAGATGGGCAGACCCAGGGAAGCCGGGCTCAAATGGGGGACTTTGCATGAAAGAGCCATAAAAACATGACCTTTCAAGGTCATTCTGGGGGGAGGGCTGTCCAGGAGTCACCCCTTTTCTTCTGGCAGCTGTCCCTAATTTTCCCTGGGGCCCACCTCCCTCCTCCACTCTCAGCCCACAGGTGCAGAGCATGTGACTGGCACCTAGACTGACCACTCACTGCCCTCCCCCAGTCCATGGCCATTGGTGTAGAGGATGGTCATGTGACCTATCAGAGCCAATGGGATGCTGTGAGCCCCCAGGGGGCTGAGAAAGGGGCACTCTCAGCTTTGACTGAATGACCCTGGAAGGAAGGAAGACCTGGAGCTACAGCAGCTGTCTTGTGCTCATAAAGAAGGAGAGGCACTTGTCGGTGGAAGTTGTTGTTGTGGAAGTGAGCAGAGCCGAGAGAGAGAGAGAAATATGAGTCCCCCACCAAGTGAAACCCTGGACTCTGGATTTACAAAATACTTAAGCCATTTAGGTTTTGGTCTTCTGCCACTGAGAACCATCAGCGATCCACCAATAAACCGTGAACAAACTCACCTGCCCGTGGTCATGGGAATGACACTACATGCACACGTATGAACACATGATGCACATGGGAGGAGGCAAGACAGAGAGCCTAAGTGGATTCAGACTTGTCCTGGCTGCCTCAAGGGCCTCAGGGAGTGGCCTACTGGGCCCAGACCCACCCCTAAGATTTGCAAGACCCAGGCCGAGCCCACGTGGAAGCCCATGTACCACGTGGCTGAATATTTAAACGTTGTAAGTCAAGCTAACACACTGTTAAGTAAAGCATGTCCTTTTCTCCTACCTTGACAAATGCACCTTCATGACAACCTGGGAAGTCAGGGGCAAATAGAGACTGCTCACAGACAGTGACGTGGGAGGGAGGCACCAGCCCCCACCCTGCCTCCTTCCCTTTCACCACCGGCTCCAGCCTGGACCATAAGGGTTGTGCACGTTCTGGGGACACCCCAGCCCTTATGTCCAAGCACTGCCCATGCCCCCTGCCAACAGCTGCCCCTTGGCCACCCCCAGGGCCAGGAGTGTGCACCCTGGAAGCACGGCTGCCCCCTAGAGGACAGGCCCAGGGAAGAGGCTCATGCACGCCCTGTGACTGGGCTCAGGGCCCACTGGGCAGGACGTTCAGGGTTCTAGATACTTTAAGCAAAGTCTGGAAGGGCAGAGCACAGGCTCCTGGTGACTAAGTCCCCTTGGTCCCAATGACTCCTTGTCTTGGGAGGAGAGAGGAGGGAGGGGGCAGGACTTTTAAAGCACAGGCCCTGGGAACGGGTCCCTCCCACCTGGGTTTAAGGGTGGTATGGATTGACCCAGAGTTAGAGGGTGGCCTAGAATCCATCAGAATATGTGGCCTTGTGTCAAGAGTATTTTTCCTCTTGATTAACATCCACCATCCCCATTGCCTCTTAGAAATGGGAGATATATAAAGAAGTCATTTTTCCTGAAATTTGTACTTCCCCCAAGAACAGCAGAGAATGCTACTTATGACCTAGGTGAAAGACACAGCAATGTGGGGGGCCGGCTAGTTATTTTTAGGAGTCTTCTGGAACCACCTGGAGCATGGGACGGAACAGCAGCAGCGCCGCACAGAGGGCATCTGCTGGTGACCCGGGACTCCTTGTGACCAGCGCCAGGTGCAGGAGAGGACGCAGAGCGGGACACGTGGTGTCTTCCCGGTGCTCCTGCAGCTCTGCAGGCCAAGGCAAGGAAGCAGCATTTTGCCCCTGCTCTTGTCACCCTGGAGCCAGTCAGCCTGGGGTGTGAATGTGTGTGTCAGGCAAGCCAGTGATAATAAACGCTTCAAATATAGGAACTCAGGGCTTGTTGGTAAATCGTCAAATTCAGGGAAAGTTCTGCTTTTCAGCGCCCTCTGCCTGGGGCCATGCTCCGACCTGCTTTCTCCCTGCCCACTCACGCGACGCTTCTGCTGTCTGGTGTGCTGGGTGTCTGCCCCCACCACTTGTCACCTTAAGGTGAGGCACTCTCTGAGGAGAGGGGCCACGTGTGAGTCACTCTGTGGCCATGGAGGTTGGACACCAACACGGACGAGACAGCGACAGTTACTGACAACCGTCTGGGCCTGGTCTCTCACTCTTGTCCAAGCCTGAGGTCCTGGCACCCTATAAATTCGGTAGGTTTCCCTCATGCTTTCCTCCTACCTCTGTTTTGAAGCTTCCGGCTGTCCCCTGATGTCTCTGGTTTCTGTCCCACCACCTCCTGGCTCTAATCTCTCTTCTTCCCGAAGAGCTTGAAGACTCAGGTGAAGGACTTGCCTGAGTCACTGCCTCCCGCCTCCGCCTCCAAGAATCTGCCTCGTGGATTCCCCCTTTGAGCTGTGCCTGGCAGCAGGCAGGCACATGCTGCCCGCCACGCCCACCCTTATGTGGCCCACCTCCTGGGTCCCGCCCAAGCCCGGCATCCTGTTGAGTGAGGCAGGGGACGGCAGACCAAACTCAAAGTGCGACGATCAGAGGGCTGCGAGAGTGCTGCTGAAGGAAGCGGCTCTGCTTTGACATCAGCTGTGGGGAGGACGGTAAAGGAAACTGAGGTCGTAGGTGTGAGTCGAAGACCGTTTTGAGTGTGAGGCTGTCGATGACAAAGGAGAGGGTGTTGGTCAACGGCGTCGATGAGGTTAAAGTTGATGATGACGATGTTGATGTCGTGACAGTGACGGTGAGATGGCAATACTGGTGTTGGTGAAACGGACGATGATAGAGATGCCAACGACCTCAGGGTAATGGCGACAACGCCAGGAATGGTGATGGCGATGGCAGCATCCATGGCACGGTGGTGGCGGTGTTGGCAGTGACGACATGGGTGGCGATGCTGCTGCTGCTGTCATGGCGGGGGAGATGACGACAGGAGGGCTGGTGATGGTGGCACGGGTGTTCAGAGGGGAGGCGACATGCCGTTGCTGCTGGTGGTGACAGTCCGTGGTGCTGGGGTACTGGCGTTGAGGCTGCGTCAGTGGTGACGGGACGATGGCGATGACCACACCGGGCTTCGTTCTGCCAGAGACGCAGTGCTTAGACCTCACTCTAGTCCTGCCCGTCCCCTCTCTCTCCGCCTCGGCCTCTCTCCACATCGCTTTTCCTGGCCCCTCCGTGCTCCTTCCATCCTCTGAGGACCTTCCAGCCCGGAAGAGCACTGCTGCCCCAAGGGGCCCGGGCAGGGCTTATGGCAGCAGCAGTAGCCGCGGCAGCCTTACCTCCAGATGTTTCCAGGGCAGCAGCCAGCCCTTGTTCTGGCAGCCCTGAGCACACTGCAGTAATTACATTATTTGTGGCTTCAATTTTGAATCCATTTTCTGGTCATTTTACAGTAACTCAGTGGTTCACAGTCATTGCGGGAGTCCGCAGCCTGAATGTCTTCCCCCGCCCCCCTTTCCATGGCAATTGTAGTTATAGCAAAAATTATCCCAATCAATTTGTGTCTTAAAAGGAATTGAGCAGCCCAGAGAATAAGTGAAGGCAGAGGAGCCTGGGGAGCGCTGGGTCGATTCCAGGCCCGCTCCGGCCAGGCTTGGAAGAGAACACAGGCGCGCGCCGGGCTGCTGGCGCGGGCGCTGCCTGGCAGTCACTCATCTTTTAATTTTCCACAAAACATTTAAAGATAAAGACAATAAGTGAAAGT